GATTCTTAGAAAGAGGAATTGGTTGATTGGTGTTTGAGTTGAATCACACATCACTGAAAAAAATAAGTCATTGGATGAACATAAAAAAATTATGGAAAGGATTTCCACCTGATTACTTTGCTTTATTTCAGCACCATGTACTTGTGTTACACCTATTTAAAGCAAATGTGTTAGGTCAACCTAATTTATTAAGATTATTCCAATGTAAAGCAAATGTGTTGGCTCAACTTGTTACAATGGTGATTCAATGGGTGATTCTAAATCAAACATGTTGGCTCAACGTAATATATTGTGGTTATTCTTATATAAATAAAATGAGTTGGCAAAACATAATTCATTAAGGTTGTTCTAATTTAAACCAAATGTGTTGGCTTAACCAGAATTATGGTAAGGCAATGGATGATTGTAAATCAAATGAGTTGGCTCTACTCCATTCATTATGGTTATTCAAATTCAAATGAAATGTGTTGGCTCAATGTATGTTTTAAAGGTTCCTTTAACTCAGTTACTATAGCGTGACCCAGTGTAATGCAATACAGCCCGCCCAACTAATCTGCAATGTTTAGGACCAAATCATTGATGTAACTTCATTAAGATGAATGTAAATCTAGTTGAAACCACCTTATTTTACAGTGGTACCTTCACACTACCTGATTCAGTAGGTCCAACTCACTAAAAGCAAGTTAGCTCAACAAATATGCTTCATGCTAAAAGACAGTTAATCATGTGGAAATCCTTTCCATTATTTCATGACGTTAATTCAAAGACATATTTTCAAGCGTTAATCAAGCATTTTAAGATAGCACTAGGTGAAAGTGTAGGAAGAACACTCAACAATTAGAAAAGGTACAACACAATTGTATTTTCAGAATTATTATACATCGTTTTTTTACACAGCACAAAACACAGCTGAGTTGGACATTGAAATAAAAAAACAACTACAAAAAGGTTACAGTTTCATTTCCCAGCCAATTCTTTACAACATAAAACATGTCAGTATAGTTGCTCAACTTAGAGAACTGTAACAATATAAATCTTTTCTACTGCAGACTTTAAACACTCATTTTCCATATGAAACTTTACTCAACTTAGCAGCGAGTTTCATATTGAGAACTTGTGCTTTCTTTGATAAGTTCTTTCCATCCAATTTCATTATTATTTTCTGTATTACTTCAAAGGTATGCTTGAGTTACTGAGCAAGTTGAGTGCTGAACGCACTAAACTTGAGGGTAGCTCAAGTTTAGTGCGTAGATTAGTCCCAGCAGCATCACTATTGCAGAAGATACACTGCCCAAGCTGTTCATAACTTCCACCTCCTCCAGGACAATCCCAACATCCAGATGTGCATCGGCAGCCTCTGCACCCTCTGCTCAAATGACGATTCCGAGGACAGTCTCGGCTTTGGCCATTTCTGCACATTCATCAACGTCCTAAGGGAGTTAGGGAAGGGTATTGGGGGGGAGACAATTCACATGTAATTAAATAAATAAATTAAGACTGACATTGATTGAGTCACTCATGGACCTTAGTTGGTGAAAGTATTTTAACAACTCTTAGGAGTTCTATTGTAAACACAAAGAGAATTTAACATACCATGTACTCCCTCACCAGCTTCTCTGGATCTTCATTTAGGTACACACAGACCTTTGAGGATGCACTCTCGTCTGACCTCAGCAGTGTCTTCCTAAATATGCAGATCAAAAAACAATGAGAACAATCTCAAAACTCCAGCAGTATAGGTTCACACACTTGAAAACATAGCTACATTCAAAGGAAGTCACAACAAAAGTGATCAGTGGCTTGCAGTCTATTTGAAAGATATTTAAAATTGTTAGTATCCCTTCATTATGCCATGACTAAAATTGAGTTTAACATCTCATTTAAACATCTAACTGAAGCTGTTAGATGTTTAAATAAAGACATGAATATATCACCAAAGAAATATGTGAAAAGTACAGAATGGTCAACACAGTCTATATCCTTCTACTTAAATGAATATGCAAAGCATTCCATGTCTTACAAGTACATGGACAGTCTATGTGTGGGCATGGATAACGTCGCATATGCCGGTGTTTAAGTGTAAAATGTTTTAACAGGTCATATCTACGAGACAGAGAGAGACTACACTCCTTACATTTCCACATCCCCACGCAAATAAAGACAAATAAAACAGACTGGCCAAATAAATGTTCAGCTGAACCCTAGCTTTATAAGCTCTCTAACACTACATTCAGTCACTTTAGATCTGGCAAAACTTACTATTAGCCACTGAAATCTATAACTTGATAGCCGATGAGCCCCTTGACCAGTACTTACGCAGGTGGATTACAGACAGGTGATGTTCTGAAAGAGATCAGATATATTTTCAGCCATTAAAATATGCAATTCATACTGAACTGAGTTGTATCTTTTAGTACAAGTCCCTTGAATGCCTCATGAATATAACCACTGGACACTTGTATGCAAGCACATATGTGCAGAACAGTGGTGAATTGAACATGGTAGAAAGCAATAGTAACATAGGTCAAAATGAGCACAAACAATCAACACAAAAAACATCAACATTTCAAAATTAAACCAATGAACTTCAATATTGTTTCTGAGCTACAATTATTTGGGGACAACAAAGAAGAGTCCAAAAAACCCCAACATTTTTACAGCAGAGGAATATGTATTTTAAAGAAAAAAAATAGAAAGCTCAAGTCTGTAATAATGGATAATCCATTGAGAGTTTTAGCCTGACAAAATATACTAGAAATCCATAACTAACAGGTATTTTAGGAACATTTAACAAAGCTCAGAAAGCAATGCTTTCTGCAGGTTTCACCGACTGAAATGTAGGACTTTTTATTACCATAATTAATTAAGAATCTCGATGATGATAGAAAGGTACCAAGTGTGTGTATCTACATTTACCTCCATAGTAACATTACTGAAATAGAATTAAAATAGTTAGAAATAGACTGATGTTAGATCCGTGTGTTAAAAATCCACTAAACCTCCAGGGAGCTCAGGAGGAGCAAAACTGTGACATTTCTGGGGTCCATTTGTGTCTCTGGCAGCAGCTTTGTACACTACATATGGCTCTGCAGACTTTTTTCGCACAGAATGTACCTAACATGGTGCGGCGATAAATGTAGACAAAAAGCTATCTGCCTTAACCTAACCGACTTAATCTACAGAACATGAAATAATGTGACACAAGTATGGAACAAGTAGAAAATGGTGCAAATGGTAGAGAAATTTTAAGTTACATATTTTTATATGGATTTAGATGAAAATAGTTTGACTCTTACCTTCTTCAAATTAAGTGGATGCACGCCAGGAATCTCCCCTCTGCCCTTGAAAAAACCCAACAAGGTGCAAGCCAGTTATCTCGCGTGATTTTCCGTAATCTCTTGATGTCGCTGGATCCTCTTCAGCGGGAGATGAGTCTGACACAATAGCGCTTTGGAACTGACGTCACTGTGTTTTTTTTTTTATTAGATTAACTTTGACAAATATTGATATTGAATAAAATAAAAAAACACACACACACACACACACACACACACACACACACACACACACACATATATATATATATATATATATATATATATATATATATATATAAATTCCCTTCTCACCCACCGCGGGTGGTTCTTATCCTCTGAGCTCGGGTCCTCTACCAGAGGCCTGGGAGCTTGAGGGTCCTGCAGTATCTTGGCTGTGCCAAGGACTGCACATTTCTGGACTGAGATGTCTGATGTTGTTCCTGGGATCTGTTGTAGCCACTGCTTTAGTTTGGGGGTTACTGCCCCGAGGGCCCCGATGACCACAGGCACCAGTGTGGTCTTCACCTTCCAGGCCCTCTCCAGTTCTTCCCTGAGGCCCTGGTATTTCTTCAGTTTCTCGTGCTCCTTTTCCTGATGTTGCAATCACTTAGTATTGCTACATCTACCACAACGGCTTTCCTCTGATGTTTATCCACTACGACAATGTCTGGTTGGTTCGCCATTACCATTTTGTCTGTCTGGTTCTGGAAGTCCCACAGGATCTTAGCTCTGGCTAGCTCCTAGCTGACTGGATAGCTCAGCTGACTGGATAGCTCAAGCTGACTGGATAGCTCAATACATAAGGCATCAGTATATCACCCGAGAGGGCAGGGTTCGAATCCAGTCTGGGTCCTTAGGCAAGACCTCATACCATGAGAGATACTAAGTTGCATATATATATATATATATATATATATATATATATATATATATAAAATACTGCGCAGGACCCTCAAGCTCCCAGGCCTCTGGTAGAGGCCTGAGAGCTTGAGGAATTAGATGTATTCAAGTTGAGATAACGTCATTCAATCACGTTAGTCCAGTTGAGAGAAAAAACCGATTGTCTCGCGTGATATCCCGTGATCTCACTCGTTGTCGTCAGCACAATATCAGTCTGACTATAATGAATCATGTTAGCTCAACATGATTCAATTTTATAAATGTGAAGTCGTGGAATATCTTGTTTATCCAACATGATTTTATCACGTTTTCGTTTCAAACCCAACATTATTGTGTGAAAGGTACATTATATTTTTTTGTTAATGTAATACGCCCCGACGTTCTTTTTTTTTTTGGCGGAAGATCTAGCTGACGTAATTGAATCACGTTATCTCACCTTGAATACATTTTATTCCATTTGCGAGAAAAAACCGATTGTCTCGCGTATTCTCGCGTGATATCCCGTAATCTTGCGTGAACTTGCGTGATATCGCGTGATCTCACTCGTTGTCTTCAGCATAGGATCGGTCTGACTATAATGAATCATGTTCGCTCAACATGATTCAATTTTATAAACGTTGAAGTTGTGGAATATCTTAATTATGCAACATGATTGTATCATGTTTTTGGCTCAAACATGCAATTATTTAGTTAACAGTACATGATATTCTTTTGTTAATGTGATAACCCCTGAGGTTCCTTTTTTACAGTGCAGGAAGAGGCGAAGGACGGGGGAAGATATTTAAAGAGCTTCAGACACGGATTTTGCACTTCCCTCCACAATGTCTGCACAGACTCTGCTGCACCTCTTGGCTCTGGTGGCCTTTTTCTTTGCAGGTAGGTGGAAACTCTCTCTGTTTTCTGTCTTATGATTGTTATTATTAACAATAAAATGGTATTCTATACAATTTTATCACAAAAACAATATACTTTTAGTGTAAATCTAGAGCTCCAGCTCTAATGCTCTGGGTTTTCTTGAAGAAAATCAACTGAAATGTTTTATGTTTTTGTCCCGTTTCCCAGGATCCGATGCACAACTTCATGGTTGGTAGAAACCTAAAACCTCTTTAAAGTATCCAGTGCAATAAGATTTGCGTCCTAATCTTGTCTGAACTGATTTCTTGTTTCAGAATGTGGCTTAGCTTCTCCCAACTTCAAAATAGTTGGAGGTCAGGACGGCTCACCTGGAAGTTGGCCCTGGCAGGTGAAGCTTTATGGCCCGTTCAAGTGCGCAGGCTCCCTGATCAACAAAAAGTGGGTTCTGACTGCAGCTCACTGCGTCTCTAGGTAAGTGCAAAGATAAACAAAGTTCTCGTTAAGATTTTTATCTGTAAACGCTGCTGGTTGAAGTGAAAGGAAGCGTGTCACAAAAGATTTAAGCTTTGTTAAGAATTAAAAAGATGAAGAACTTGATCTTAGCTCGTTAATTAATTCTTAGTCCCGAATTCCTGTGTCTGTGTAAGTGTGCAGAGAGAAAAGAGCAATCGTACGACGTCAGACTTCAGATATTCAGAGTTTTATCCAGAGAAAATCAATCCAAGAAGAACTTTACAATAAGCCTCTCACCTAGAGCAAAAGTCCAAGACATTACAAAACAGAGACAAAGAACTGAGTAAAAAAGACAACAAATTAACAGAAGATGCATCCTCCGGGAAAACTCTCACCCAGCACAAAGAGATTCCAACTTCTGCTGTGAAACAAACCATTTTTTATAGACTGCATATTCTCCTCATTTAAATATATGCATTAGGAGTGTGTTTTCCTTTGTGTGGGCTGTCTTAATGTTAATTTTATTACCTCCTGCTCAAGAGCCCCAAAGGCAGATATATGGCCCGGCTCTTTTCGTACCTGCCGCTGTCCAGTTTGATATAGAGTGCAGCTGCAGCGCTATCTCTTCCCCAAGCTGTTTCCACAAGAAAGTAGTTTGTATTTTTAACCAAGCTTGCACACAATGTAATGCTAAATAATGACTATAAGTTTGGATCTAATAAGTAACTAATTAAAAACATGCTTAAAGAAATATAGTTAATTCTAATATAGATAAAATTATTTATAAAAAGTTTTAAGATCCTAGTGAACTTTTGAACCATGCTCAGGAATTTGTTAATTGCCTGGCATACAGGCTCCTTATCTCAAGAGATCCAAGGAGTCTAGGCCTACGTTTTCTGTTTTTCTGTCTGATCCTCCTTTTAAGAATTTATCTGCGTTTCAGAGATTGAGCCGTTGTTTTTAGTTTCATCTAAATTTATATGAACCTAGAGTGTACTTTAACTTTCTATGTTATATTTTATATGTGTCAAAGCTATCCTGTGCAGTATTGTGCTAACTTAAAATTCTATGTCAACATTCCCCCTTTTGATCTCTTTAAAAAAAGATCACCTAAAGTATGACCATACTTACCTGGGAGCAAACACATAAGGATTTAACAGAAAGATTAACATTCCCCCGACAAACAAAACCCCAAACAATAACAAGACTTGATCCCCCAGTCACATCAAAAAGAAGAAAAACATACATCACATAACATCAATACAAAATCACAAAAACACAAAAAACTTCCTGTCACCTAAAAGCAGTAAAAAACATTCAACCAGGTCTCTCATCACACCGTCAGTCGGAGGGCTCGGACGTCCTCTCCATGACTTGGTAGAGCTCAGTGAAGCAGGATTCAGACCACTGCCGTTTTGATGACCTTCAGCCTCACCCAGGTGTATCCTGATGCAGATCTCTTCTCCGACCTCTCCTGTGACCCCTGGTACTCCACAAACTCCGCTGCTATTAACTGTAACCCATCAAAAAAAAAATCTTTTATGAGATAAATGTACAGGGTTACCTGTCCATCTGGGAGTTCTGACAGCTGGCCCTGGAAATCTTCTGATCTCATGCTCGTACGAAGAGAAAAGCCCTGTAAATTTATTAATGGACATCCTAACAGACAACAAAGCAACAGGCAATATAACAGGCACTGCAACTACCCATTAAAATTTTGTCTGTGCACAGATTTTAGCCAATTTTGTATTTTGTTCCATTCAATCCCCACGTTTGCCCGCAACTTATGGATAATATATTGTACCAAAAATAAAATGATTCAAACCCAGGATTTTGTTCCACTTCCTGGAGATCCTGATACCTGAAATGTAGCATCAACCTACCTCATTAGTTCCTGGAATCCATCACTGGAATCTAATAAGTAATCAAATCCTTGTGACAGTTAATTGTACTCCTTGTATATAAAAAAATCCTGAGAAATGGTTTCAAAACACCTCAATACCTACCTGTGAAAACCTACCTCATTAGTTCCCTGTGTTACCTGGAAAAACATTAATTCTCATATTTACGGGGAGAATCACCTTATCAACCGGACCTGTGACGGTTTCTCTTATGACTCGGGCCACCACACCCAAAAATGATGGGCCAAGGCCAGAGATTACTATAGTGACATTTATTTTCTATCTGTTCAGTGTATCAAAACAATTAATCAATTAAGCACTTCCTTCTAACTCAAAATAAACTATTAAAGTATAATACAAGAATATAATAAATAAAGTTGTAATTAAAATACACTCCAAAAGAAATCCTGGGAAAATGTCTGACTGAAAATAGATTTGAAAGCCTGCCAACCAAAAAACACACATGTGCACCCACAATGAACCGTCTCCGTTTAAGCTGCAAAAATAAGTTATTGATGTGCATATTTGTATATATGTGCGGGCTGGATGGCACATACTCTTTAATTAGATGTCATCTCATGATGGCTCTGCTTGCCTTCCCCATAGATAGTTCTTCTGGCGAAACTCTGTTGATGTTAAATGATTTTACCAAGTGGTTCTGTTCCACCTATTCAATCGCAATACTTACCATTTACAAACTTTTATATCTAAGCATCAACAGTCCTTGCATGAATCATCACAGAAGCAATGCTTTCTCCAGTTCTCTCATTTCAATCTCATGTTTTACTGGAGAATTATCTGCTCTCCCCCTTTTTCTGAAACAGAACTGCTAAGAACATCAGTTCTGTTATAGAAAAATCCAAATTAAACGGCAAATTATAATGAGGTGCAGCCAAATATGCAGCAGCAGATAGCAGGAGATTATCAACACACTAAATCAAAATCACATCTACTGAAAAATAGACAACTAGCCAAGTACCATTACAAAACCCAATTAAACATTCCTAAATAAAAAAGAAAACAAACGTCTGTGGGAGAAGTACATACCACAAACGGTCACCTTGTGTAAGGAAAAGAAAACACATCTCTACAACCCTGGCAAGAGAAAAACTAAACTGACCGGCACTACAAGGTTACCAAAGTCAAAACAGTCTTCTACAAATCATGTGTTCTGCCAGTTGTCCTATCTTCCTGTCTCCAGAAATTGCTGTAAATCAAATGGGAGGAGAGGTTGTAAAACCAAATGTGATTGGTGTGATGTCAAACAGACTGTGATAACCAGGGAGCAAAAGACGTCCCAAAACCAGTGTGTACACAGACAATTCTTGTTGTTATATTTTATACGTGTCAGTCGATGGAGAGAAAAATAGAGGAGGAGAAACTATAATGTTCAAATTCAAAACATATAAAAGGCATTTTACCACACCACCTAAGTCCTGAACTGTATTGCTGTGTTACAGAACCAAAGAAACATGTGTTACTGCTTCGTCCTGCATGTTAAACCAATTGTACCATAGTCAGACAAACTGCGGCAGCAACACTCTCTGGTGCCACAAAATAACCTGAGAAACCACTGTCTAGCCCCTGCCAACTAAATGTTCCCTCAAATTGCTCCTGATACCATTCAGACTGGCTAGATCCTAAAAACAGAATGACATGAGACAGGTCAGACTTCTGCCCGTAGGTGTAAGTGCCTGGGTCGAGGGTTTCCAGAGGGGTGTTCCTCCAGCGGCTGCAGCAAAAACAGTTCAGCAGTGCAAGTCGCAGAATATACAGTCACAGCAGAATGCATGTCGAAGGCATCACAGTGTTCATAGAGGTGGCTCCAGCATCCACCAAAAATGACAACAAATGTCCAATAACTCTCATGCTGATCAGGAGTTCTCCCATCAATCCCTCCTCCACAAGTCTCTGTGGGGTGTGTTCATAAACTGAACTGTGAGGTCAAAGTCCACCATGTCCTGAGACCACTGCAGCATGTGGGGGTGTGCAGGAAGCAGGACACACAACACATCGTCTTTCAGCAGATGATGACGGTCCATGGGGACACTGCAGAGCTCAATGTCCCTCCTCGCCACGGCAATGACAAGTGTTGAAGCGCACACTCGTCCTCCATCCACCCCTTTACCTGACACCTGACCATCCGGGCATCTGCCTGCGACTGCCATGCCAACCTGAAACTGCAGTCTGCCAATTCGGAGAGTACATACGGGGACCAGAGCGTGTGGCTGCAACAGGAGCCTGAGTGAAAAATAGACAGTGTAAGAGCAGCAGCCACCATGGCCACACCCACAAGTAATATTTTGTTTTGTTTATGCACTGAATACCAAGCATCCACTAACTGGAGCTGAAGCAATCGCTAGTGAAGTCCCCCTTTTCCACCCAGTTACTCTCCATAGACTGAAAATATGCAAATTATGCAACAAATTATTCCCCATTAATCATCATCACCACCAGTCAAATCTGAATTTTGTGTTATCAAATATAGACACGGAGGGAGGAACAACAGGCAGCACATCCAGTCAAAAATGCTCCTACAAATTAGATAAAAATATAGTTTATAGTTTATCAGAAAAAACATTATGCCTTCCACAACTCTATGGCCTCATATAAAAACATATAGGGATGTATGTAAATGTCCTACAAAAATTTAGAAATAACACCCGGAGCGGCAAAAGAGAAAATAAATTCCCCAGGTCCGCATCCAAAACAGCCAAAACTAAGTAAAAATGTGTGTGGTCAGGGGAAAAAAAAAACGGAAGATTTAGCGCTTAATGCAAAATCATAAAAATTTAGTTGAAAGCGTCCAACCTAAAAATCTGAAATTCCCAAATCAAATTTAAATCCCTCATAAGTAAATAAAAGACATTAATCCACAACACAGCACCAGTATTAAAGTCCAAAAAGACAAACTTTCCTATTTGAACGGAACAACACCAAAACAAAGTTTCACATCTGTTCTCTAGAGGTGTGACTGATAATCAGTGTGACAAAGGAGACACATCTAAGAAACGGGACAGCCTAATAGTCTGACAGCCAAGAGTCTAATATTTTAGTCATTATACAAGTACTTTATATATTTTCATTCATTAGATTTGCAATATGACACCGCACCAGACTATGACGTGTGAAAATAGGCCCTGCGAAACAAAACCACCCACTAATTTAACTTCCAAATGTTTGTGCACAGATGCTGAAAGCTGCTTCCCTCTCTTGGTTCTGGCTCTGCAAAATCAGAACCAGAATCAGAACCTAAGAGTCTGGAAAGTTGATACAACAACAGCAGATCTTCAGATGTATTGTGGTGCTAAACCGGTCAGTGATATGTAAACTAACAACAGTATTGTAAAATATATTCTTTGAGCCACAGGGAGCCAGTGAAGGGATTTTAATACTGGTGTAATGTAATCCAATCCTATCCACAGACAATCACACCTCTTTTTTTTTTTTTTTTTTTCTTTTTTTGTTAAGAGGTGGAACTAGGCAAAACACTTGTAATCCGATCTATACAAATCAACAGGCTTAATTCTAATCACCATAGAAAAGCTACCAACACATTTACTTAGTAAACATTTATGCAGGAGAGAGAAAAAACAAAAAATGACCCTGCAAACTGGTCCTACCTGTAAACTCTAATCAACAACCAAAATAGAGGCCAGCACTGCAGAGAATGGAGTAGACTGAGGTGCGACAAAACCTCAGACACCGCTTTTAATTTAGCATTATTACTACAACTCACCGGTTCCCCATAAAAGTCACAGATAACAATCATTGTATAAAGAAGTGTTCAATGTCTGGCCAACTCACCAAAACGGGTCCACAACTTTCTGCCCTGTGTCGCCTCCTGTAAACTCACAGACGCAGCTGTCCAGGGAAAAAATTAGCCAGCAGTTGTTCTGCAGACACAATGTGTAACAACCAACGACCTGCCTACGTGTAAGACAATCAAAATGACAACATCACTTTATTGACGAACTACATCTGCCATGAGAACTGTAAAGCGAGCCGGAGTCACATCAAACGTAACAAACCAACTGCTGGATTAAATGCTAATGTAGCTCCGTACATGCGCCTGTACCGTAAGCCACGAGACAGAAGCAGACCAACAAGCTAACACGTTATATTAAAATCAACCGCCATAAGCACATAGCCTGATAAAAATTATATCATCAGTATTATTAATATTAGAGAGTATTCATAATTAGTTCTCAAATAGTACATAAGCACAAACCGCGGCAAAACAACACTCACTCAGCAGCTGCAAACGCCGTCTCACATACACACAATAACATACAGAGAGCCGTACAACACACACAGACAACTGCGACACACACACGACCACGCACAACGAACACACAGACAAACAACAACTCAGTCACTCCGACACAAACAGATAACGTACTGACATAAACAAAGACAAAAACACAAAGACACGCCGGCGAAACAACACAAACAGACAAAAAACAGCGAAAACACACGAACAGACAAGGTGGTCAACACACAGGAAAAAATCAAAATAACATCAACACACAGAGACAAACGAGGAAAATTAAGAAAGATAAGAAAGCAAAAGGAAAGTCCCTATTGTTATCGATAACAGAAGAGTTTAATTCTTTGGGGCCCAATGTCTGTCTCTTGCACTTTACTGCACATCACTTTCATTTTCAGCACTAGTTGCTGCGGAAGGACCGTCTCCCAATTTAGCATAAGTCCTTTCAAGCTCGGGCAATAGCTTAAGTGATTCAACTTTTAAATCTGGAGGTCCTTTCGATCCAGAACTAAACTGGAACGTGGTGATACAACCGTAGCCAATTCTCATAAGCCCTGCAAATAATCAGCTGCTTTCGGAGCGAACCAAAACTCCAAGGTCGATTCAGGCCTCTTCCTGTCTCACACCCCAACTCACAGGCTTCGTTTGAGTGTAGTAAAATCTCAGGTCGAACCAACCTAGCTAAATCCACACTCCGTCGAGTGTGGTTGAGGCGCGCCACTGCCAACTACGGGTGTGTAACCAGCTTATCTAATGGTTCAGTAGAATAAGAAGAAACAAAACAACACAAAGAGATCACACACTAACAAAGATCAGTCCGCGGGGATAGCCGCGCTGCAGATCACTCCGCAACGTTCCAGCTGCGCTCCACAGGCTAACACAAACAAACAAGTCTCCACTGCACACACACAGAGACACAGAGAAAAAGGACCGGACGAAGGTGTGTTCTTTTCCTTTGTGTGTCTTAATAATTTTATTACCTCCTGCTCAAGAGCCCCAAAGGCAGATATATGGCCCGGCTCTTTTCGTACCTGCCGCTGTCCAGTTTAATATAGAGTGCAGCTGCAGCGCTATCTCTTCCCCAAGCTGTTTCCACAAGAAAGTAGTTTGTATTTAACCAAGCTTGCACACAATGTAATGCTAAATAATGACTATAAGTTGGATCTAATAAGTAACTAATTAAAAACATGCTTAAAGAAATATAGTTAATTCTAATATAGATAAAATTATTTATAAAAAGTTTTAAGATCCTAGTGAACTTTTGAACCATGCTCAGGAATTTGTTAATTGCCTGGCATACAGGCTCCTTATCTCAAGATCCAAGGAGTCTAGGCCTACGTTTTCTGTTTCTTCTGTCTGATCCTCCTTTTAAGAATTTATCTGCGTTTCAGAGATTGAGCCGTTGTTTTTAGTTTCATCTAAATTTATATGAACCTAGAGTGTACTTTAACTTTCTATGTTATATTTTATATGTGTCATAGCTATCCTGTGCAGTATTGTGCTAACTTAAAATTCTATGTCAACAGCTTACATTTATTCTCAACTGGGTTATTTGTAAAGAAAAATGTAAAAGTCTATTTAGTTTATCTGTAAAACATTTAAGTTGGTTTAACTTGAAAATGCAATTTAAGTCAACAAGAAAATTGTTTTGGTTTTAACTCATTAATTAAAGTTCATGAAGTTGATTTAACAACAAGAGTAAATTGTCTAAACATTGTTTTTAATTAATCTTGAATTGTGAGTTTTAACTTAATGCTGCAATTTAAGCTAAATAATTATTTCACAATATGCAAGAAAAGGTTCAAAATCTAAACCTCACTAAATTTATTTGACTTAAAGAGTAAAACTAGTAAACAGAACTAAATGCTTCACAAATGTTTTACACTGTTAATGTTCCATTTATTGAATAGAAGCAACTCTGAACAGGTGGAGGTTTAGTTTTGATTGAACGAAACTCAGGTGATAGAAGGCCGACTTTGTAACTGTCTTTATGTGACTCTGAACGTCCAGGTCTGAGTCCAACTATAAGAAGTTGAAAATATTGTCATAATTTTTTGTGATGAAATAAATTCCTTGTTTTTTCCCCTGTAGAACAACTCCGTCCATGTGGACGGTGGTTCTGGGGCAGCAGAATCTGAGCGACACACAGATGAGAACCGGAGTGAGAAGGAACGTTGGAAGAATCATCGTACACCCCAAGTTCAATCCCTCCCCCATCGACAACGACATTGCGTTGCTCAGACTCTCCTCACCGGTGAAGTTCACACAGTACATCAGACCGGTGTGTTTGGCTGCGAGTGGCAGCCGGTTCAACAACGGCACCGACAGCTGGGTCACCGGCTGGGGAAACGTAGGAGAAGGAGGTGAGACTCACCTGACACGACCCTCATCCTGACCCACACAAACTGAACTTTTAGTGCTTTTATTGAGTGGGTAAATTATCTCCTGTTGTTTTGAGACGACCATGAAAAAAAGTTCATTTTGTTTCGATTTACCACTTTAGCTTCATCCAGTCTTTTTTCCTACCCAATCAGATTCAGTGATTACAGAGGATCTGTTGTGCAATATTTACTTTTTCCTCATTTTTATGTTTCCATTTGGGTTTCAACTCAAATTATTAAGTAAAACACTGAGTCAATGTTTTTAAATAAGCCGTTTGAAAAATCTCCCCATTGTTGAGTCACAGTCAACAGTAATTGTACCGTTACCTAGCGACACAGCCTGTTACCTAGCAACGTAAACAGAGCTCCAACACATTTGGTCAGCTGATTTTATCACTGTAGAGTACTTTACAATGGCTGCTGGGAAAGACAAGTGCTTTGTTGTTGACTTACCATCCAGGAACCACTTGTTGCATTCTTGTTGGTTGCACAGGAGGCTCCACTTCTGCTTTTCGAGTATGTGTGAGTGTACATGTTGAGTTGGTGGTTGTGGCCAGCAGCAGCTTATTTGGATTTAAAGTTATGGCAGAGTTAATGTTGCAGCGTACATATTGTTGTGTGTTAATGTCAGCGATGTAAACCTCCACAGAATCTCTACCTGAACCTCAAACCCTTCAGGAAGTGAAGGTGCCTGTCATTGGGAACAGACAGTGCAAGTGTTTGCTGGAAAGATCAAAGATCACAGACAACATGATCTGTGCTGGAGTTCTTTCAGGAGGAAAAGACTCTTGTCAGGTAGGTGATAGACTGTAAATTCGTCTGCAGATCTTTCTTTAATATGTTGCACTTACAATAAATACCACTCTGCATTTCAAATGCAAATCAATTAGAGCATCTTGGCTTGAAGTTAAAATCAAGACAAATAATAATACCAGCATCATGTACACTGCAAAAAACACAATTACCAAGTATTTTTGTCTGGTTTCTAGTATAAATATTCAGTTATCTTGAAATCAGACAAAACTAACTTACACATAACCTTTTAGAAAGATATGAGAGTTTTTTCCCATATTATAAGTGAAATTATCTGCCAGTGGAATCATTTGTTTTTTAACAATATTGAGAACTTATTTACCTAAGTCAAACTTACATATTGCTAAAAAGTTACTTATAATTTCCTTTTGTCCTGTTTCATGTGCACTAAAACGTTTGCACTACAAATTTAGAATAAAAATACTTGAGAAATTTTGTGTTTTTGCAGTGAAAGCTAATAATAGCAGGTATGTTACAGGCAGAGTGTAACCTAGAAATGATGAAGTACCTAATTTTGATATATCAGTATGTCAATATGATATATCAGTATGTCAATATGACACAAGCAGCCTGGAGAGACAATAATAAAATACTACTTGTTCCCTTCTGCCGTTCAGGGAGACTCAGGAGGTCCGATGGTCAGCAAGCAGAGCTCACGCTGGATCCAGTCTGGAGTTGTGAGTTTTGGCGTGGGCTGCGCTCGGCCCAACCTGCCCGGCGTTTACACCAGAGTGTCCCGGTACCAGTCCTGGATAAACGCCCACATCAGATTTAACAAACCGGGCTTTATCGAGTTCGCCTCCAGAGGATCGGATCCAGACAGCAGCTTCTCCTGCCAGCGCCGGCTGCCTGTCACCAAGTGATGAAACTTAACCTCAGATTCCACCCGAAACCCTTTCATCCATATTTTCTTACAACAAAAATGGTAGAAAAACAACAAAATAGTAATTAATATTTAAGGAAAAACATTTTAAATGTTTGATTTTAATATTTACTTGTTTGCTCTTCTGTTATTACTGTAATTTCTTCATATCTATATCTTTCCCACACAATAAATGAACTTATGAGGTTGTTATAAATTAAAAGTTTTGTTAATAAAGATAATCTAATGCAATTATAACTGTGTTGCATATTCTGTTGCACTTTGGTGTAAACTGAAAAAACATATTTTGGTCACTTCATGAAAATAAAACCTAAAGGAATCTATTAATTTTCAAATAATTTATTTTGTCATTTTAGTCTTAAAATAACATTCAACACTGACTTGTTGCTCTGTAATCTGTGATGTATCCGATATCATGGACCAGGAGGAGATTAATGCACAATCAACTGAAATAAAAAAGTTTGCAGGTGTAACAGTGATTAGATAATAAAATAAATAGATTGTGCATTTGGATTCTGTGCGATAGACCAACAGAAATGAATTGTTGAATATTTAGAGGAGAAGTTTAACTTCAGTCTCAAATTCTTATTAAACAGGTTGCGTTTGGCGAACTGTTATAATGTCAAATAGTTTTATGAATATCTGCTTGGTGAGGTTTGTTGATATAGAACAACAAATAAAAGAGTTTGCACACTGCTGGTCTCACAAAACCCCCGTCTACATATTCAGGACAGGAGTTCATAATCATTTTTTTTTCTTTTTCTTATTTATGTTTTTTATTTTTACTTTTCTTTCCTGTTTTTTTATTTTAAATGATACTATTTTCTGCGATGAACAGTGGTCATTGGTTCTGTTTTGTACATTTTTGTTCCCAAGAAAAAAAAAAATATATATATATATGCAGAAAGAGATATTGGAAAAATACTATTGGAGCAACTTGGTAATTTTTTAGATAATACAATACAAACATTTATTAAATCACTTGGGCTTGCAGTTTTCTGGTCGATCACAGATAATCAGTCTTTAACATTTCTGACCTGCTGATTCCGATTTTTGCCGATACCAATTTTTCTTTGTCTGAAATGTTGATAAATGTAGCAACAAAGATGCTGAGTTGGAAACAGACTATTGTTAACAGACTTTGTGGTCCAGTCTGTCAGTCAAACTGCTCTCTGCAGAGCAGAAGAGAACAGTGGAGGATTTTTATACCTTTGCTGAGATATATAAGATCGGATTCACATGTAAATATCAGCTGATCACCAATCTCTCAAAATAAAATAAAAAAACAAAAAACTCAACTTATAGTTAAACCAATCAGTAACGCTCGTCATTGGTTCAATAATATTGTGTTAAATAAGGACAAAAGCATCGGTGTGATGCTGGACTGAATTTATTAAATGATTAAAATCACTAGAAATGATTCACAGAAACAAGAACATTTGCAAAATTACAGAAGGACTGAAGGAAACAGTTTTCCACCTGAGAGAGACATTAGGGGTAGGTTGTCATCAAATCTCATTTTGACAGGTGCCACGCCCTTTTTACCTCTATTTAACCCCACCCACCCACCAGCCCCACCCTCCTCCCCCTCCTCCTCCTCCTCCTATTGATTTTTTTCTTTTTTAAAGAGTAATACCAATACAACAACAGTTATTAAACAAGAAAATGTATATAATTACATACTATGCCTACTGAAGTTTTAAATAGATTTGGAATGGAGATGTTACTTCTGATTCTGTGTCTGTGTTCAGCCAGGCCTACAACTGGAGGTCTGAGCTGCGAGGAGGCCTGGTTGTCATTCGGGTCATGATTCTCACTCTCAGGTCAGCAGCTGTCTCGTTCAGCTCTGTTTCGCTCATTGGGGCCGTGTATCCCCTTACTGGGTGGGGACTTGTAGTTAAGTCCACAGTTCTGACATCCGGGTTCCTCCCTTTTGCCGTAGCATTTGTGTTGTATCTCGTCTCAAGTTGTGATAGCAGTTGCCGTTTGCGGATGTTGGAACACTGAGCTACTAGTTGTTTAGCGCTTAGTGTGGGGATGTCGAAGTAACATTCCTTTCCCCAGTCTTTGCATGTAACCTCTCTCACTAGGGTTACTTGAGTAGTAGCATTCCAACAGATCCACATTTTCATCTCTCGCCCATTTCCGTCTTGTTCCAGTAGCCCATTTGTCATCAAGGTGCTCTGGTTCCCCAACACCTGACGCAGACCTTGTTTGGCCGGGCGACGTCTGAGCCGGCATGTTACGCAACTTAGTATCTCTCATGGTATGAGGTAGGCAGTAGCTTGAAGGGTCTTGCCTAAGGACCCAGACTGGATTCGAACCCTGCCCTCTTGGGTGATATACTGATGCCTTATGTATTGAGCTATCCAGTCAGCTATTGGAGGTTCTACTGAGAACCTCCAAAAAAAAAAAAAAAAAAAAAAAAAAAAAATATATATATATATATATATATATATATATATATATATTATATATATATATATATATATTTTAAATTTAATTTAGATTTCCCTGCTTTGTTCTTTCTTTCTAACATTGAGTACAGTAACTACACTATAAAACGTCATAAGTTCGTGTAACTTGATAATTCAACAAGAAAACTATTTTGCTTTTAACTCAGAAATTAAAGTTTATGAAGTTGATTTAACACCCAGAGACAAATTGTCTAAACATTCTTTTTTAAGTTCATTAACCTTGAGTTATGATTTGTAACTTATTGCAGCAATTTAAACAAAACAAAACTGACCAGTTAAAGAGACACATTTCTCTATTATTTTGCTCACAATATCAAGTTAAAATAACTTATTTTACCATTGAATCATTTAAATTCTTGTTTCAAATCACATGAACCAAATTCCTGATCTGATGAGGAGTTTCATGAAACATCTCAATGAATTCAGCTCAGAAACATTTAGTGTGATCAGGACATTTTCCTCAAGCTTTGCAAACTGTAGCCTAAAAACTCTGTTTATTCAACTCTTAATAAAAAGGTTAACTTCCTGCTGTAAGTTTATCTTTCACACATTTAGCTTCAAAATCAAATTTATTTGACTTTAACAGTAGAAGGTGGTCGACTCAACTAAATGCTCTAAATGTTTTAGAGTTGTTATGTTCTTTGGGCACTCTCTAATTATTTTTATTTTCTTAAATAATCTTGTATTGATTTAAGTTGAGTGGTTTTGTGTTTAATATATTTTTAGTGTAGTGATTCTTTTTGTAATTAGTTTGGCTTTAATTGGTGGGCGAGGATGGCCTATATATATATATATATATAGGCTGGGTTGTAATGGCCCACCCAGCCGCTCTCTCTCTCGCTCGCTCATCCACCTCCACCTCCACCTCCAAGAGGGATGCGCCCGGAGGAGGCTCCTCCAACTTTGTCGGCCTTTGGACCCATGTGACGCCTCCTGCCTGCCATGGGGATTTTTTTGGTTGTTTTTTTGGTTTGTTTTGGCTTGGTGAGTCCGGTTGTCCTGTTTTCGGTCATTTTTGTGTTAATAGCCTATATTATTTTTCCCTATTTTCTTTAGTCTGGTACTAGCAGGGGCTTCGACGGCCCTGTATAGGGTTGGCCCCTTGCTGTACCTTTTTGTTTCTTTGGACCGGCTCACCAGGTCCATCTTTCTGTTGAACTTTTTTCTCTTACTTTTTTTGTTACGTTTTGGGACACGGGAAGAGGGGTTCTTTCCTTCCTTTACAGAAAAAAAAACAAGTAGAAAAGGACAAGGAAGTCTAAAAGAAAAGAAAAAAATGAATAAAGGAATTTTTTTCTTGGAATCCTTTTGTCTACGTGTCCTTTTAAATATGGCGTCCTGGCGGATGTGACAGAGTGTATGCAGCATTTCAAGTCAAATATGTCAGGAATGTCAGCTACTCTACTGTAAATCATTTGTAAAGTAATGTTTGCTCTTATAGTCAGATCATTTCTCTACTGACCGGCTGACGCAGTGAGCTGCAGTCAGCACCCAGCTCTTGGCGATCAGGGAGCCGCCACACCAATGCCCGGATCCATTCCACTGCAGGCTGACCTTCCAAGGCCATCTTCCCGACGACGCATTCTGACCGCCAACTATTTTGGGAATTTGAGGAGCGATGCCGCACTCTGCAAGAGAAATCAGGTCAGTTTGTTTTATTTCTAACATTCTTTAAAAAAAACGTGAGATTTAATCATCTACATACCGCTAAGTTGTGCGTGTGACTCTGAATAGGAGAGAAAAAACCATCAGAAACGTTTAAAAAATCTGTTATTTTCCATAGTAATATGTTTTTTTTTTAAAATACCGTGCATATCTCAAGTTTCTTAAAGTTATAGATGTTAGTTATTTTTAATAACAAATCAAATATGTTGAATTAAATAGATGAGTTTAATGTGCATAAAAGGTATATTTTAGTCTGATATTTAATCAGTTGTGTGATTTAATATCACACAACTGCATTGCTTATTTTTCTGTCTAAGCAATGCAATGCTTTGACTGCAGTTAAACTTTATCCTTTTTTCAATGTTTCTAAACAAAAGAAGGACTTACCTGCGAAAAGGAGGCTCAGCAAAGCCAGAACCTGCAGCAGTTTCCATGAAGCCATTGTGAACGTAGCAGCAGAATCTGTCTGTCAACTTTTATATCCTCCCAAACCCTCCTAAAGGTGCAGGATGACGCTCCCTCCCCTCTACCGTGTGCATAACATGCAGCTTTAGCCTTAGTCAGTAAATCAGCTGATCTGTGGTTTAGTGGCCAGATTTCTTATGAAAATATGTTTCATAACAGCTCATGGTTTTGCCAGTCACTGATTTTTTTGTTAGTTATTAATTCATTTTTAGAGAAATCACTTTTATCACACTGACATAACTTAATATATTTTAGATATTTGTCAATATCTAAAAAGACTTTTGTCAGGTTTAAACCCCTAACATTAGTAAAACACTACCTGGAAAGAAAGACAGAACACATCAGTTAAGTTTTACTCGCGAGGAGAGTGCCCCAGAGACGTACATCAGTTACAATCTCCAACACACTCTGAGTACGTCTTGGCTCTCAACGCCTTTTATGTCCTGGTTACATGAAAGTCACAGCCTCTATAGGGGGAAGGGTAACAAATGGCTGCAACTCAGAGATAAACACATTCCAACATACATAGTAAGAAAAACAAGAACTGGTTGCTGGTGCGACCTCTTGACCTGCTTAAAGCCGTCTGGTTGAGATCTTTACAGCTCTTCCTCTCCCGCTGTTAAACCGACTCTTGCACCCACTTCACACTCAGGGCCGCACCAACTCAACATACAAGAAACAACAATACATGGGATAACTTATATACAATTATTCCAACAACTTTTTAAGACGTTACCAGTTTCTGTCTTTTGAGCATTAATTTCTAAAGTTTGCCTAAAACTCACCTCGATTGAATCTGCTGTAATTTAAAGGTACCAATCAGGGTTCTCAGTCAAATCACTCAAAACCACCTTAAATAAAGTTTTTCACCTGCAGAAAGTGAAAACTATATTTTTGTTCTAGATCTCATTTTAATGCACAAACAAAATTTTGAAATCACAAAGTCTTGAAGTATTTGTACTGTGTTCATTTGCACATTTGATTGATTTTTGTATTTGCATGTTTTAATCAAATTTCTCTTTTTCTTGTTCTCAGGATGCAACGAAATAAGCTGTATGTGAAAAACACAATAATAAAACCACTGAAGTTAATTGTGACGAAGAGCAGGAAAAGATTTCATCATGATCCTGGTGAAATATTAGATTTATCTCCAACCAAAAATCCATTTTTTAAGTTCCTGGAAATTAGTTTTGAGCTACTTCTTTGATTAGTATCTGATTTTGCACTGGTGCTGCTGTACTGACTACGTTTTTATTTTTAAATCTGAATAAACACACTTTGCAAGTTTCAAAACCAAGAATCTTTTACAGATATTTAATGAGTAAAACTTAAATTAAACACTTTGGACTAGATTGTTAATAAAACTCGACATCATCAAAAGTCATCTCTGTGCCGAATTACTGTTGACAACAAATAACAACTGATTAGCTCAGTTTTTGTGTCTTTTTGACGTTATTAATTCAGGTAAAGAAAACTTTGACCATAAAGCAGAATGGGTTTGAATGACGTGAAATCAGAAATCACACAACAGACAAATTGGTTGCAGAAAACGACTCAGTTTTTGTAAAAAGATGCTTCCTGAAAGGTTTAATCACCTGAGTGTGTTTCTGTGAAACACGTCCACCAGCAGGAAACCAGGAGTCTTTATTCTTATTTTTGGTTCAAAGTTGCCAGGAACGTGTTAAGATTGAACCGATCACATGAGTTACTGACTAACCAAGATGATGTGATGCCTTTCATTTATTCCCACATCCTGGAATCGCTGACTCAATAAATATAATTATTAACCGTCAGCAGCTTCAGTCACTGCATCAGAATTTCTTTAAGGTATTAAAGTAGCTGCGTAAAATACATTCTTTAAAATATTTTTGTCATCTGACACCATATCAAATATAAAGCAAAAACACAAATGCTGATGTCGGCACATTTGGATTTTTTCCAAAGTAAAATTACTTTCAGGAGTTTTTTTTTTTTTCACTGCAAATGTTGATGATTTATTTTAGCTGCACAAACATGTAATAATATCAAATTAAATCCACCTGTAATGTAATTTTGTTCCAGTAAAACAAAATTACTGAATTTTCTAATTCAGTAATTTAATAAGCTATCATTAGAAACCAGTTCTAATGATTATTATCATTAAAAATTCTAAAAATGTTATTATTATGATAATGATGATTTTTTTATCATTAAAAATGATAAGCTGACCACAGCTTATTATCATTTCTAATAAGCTAAAATGTTATTAATCAAAAATTAAACATCTTCCAGATATTTTACCTTGAAAACATTTTCAAGGTAAAATACTTTATGTTAAAACCAACTCAGTGAATTATATTTAAATAACATCAGTTTATTTTTAATTTGGTGTTGGAAATTGTAGTGATCCTGCTGTGTCAGTGTGCCAAGGTTGGAGTGAGTCATCCTGTTTCTCTGAGGATCTCTGCACACCTGTCATCAAGACAAACCGCCTGTGAATAAGAAAGGAAGATAATTTTACTACTCTGATGAAAAATGCATCATAATGAGTTAGTCCAGTGATAATTATTAGATAGTTCTGTGATATTTCTAAACTTGATCATTTCCTGGTTGTTGTCATGACCTGCTGCTTCCATATTTCCACATCATGTTTCTTCATCGTCTTGTGAGGAGCACAAAAGAAATGACTCCTTCACATCAACATGCTGCCATAGTGATGATTTGAGCCTTTTCCTTCTAATGTAATGATAGTTATCATTGCCAAACACTTCAGTTTTAGTTTTATCAGGAAATACCTGATGATTAATGTCTCTGACTGCATTTGCAAACGGCAGCTGTTGGTTTCGGAGTCATTTCTTCTTCCTGTCCTTTCAGGTGATGAACAGGATTTTTCTCACAGTGAATTTTGACACTTTCTAATCAGCTTCAGGCAGCATTTTACAAGGTCTTTTGTTTTGGATAATTCACACATTTTGCACCTAAATCTGGTTTGTCTGTTGGACATAGAATTTCTTTCCTCAACAATATAAAACCTGAATTTTATGCAATTATTTTGAACCTGCAGTCCAACTGTTTTCAATATTCGTCCTGACGTTTGGTTTTTAAATAAATCCTTCACTTAATTCATAGTTTGCCTCTTTAACTTCATCTATTCAGAACCTGGAGGGAGGTTGTGATTCTACTGAATATGGAAAGAAATATTCCTTTAGTTGGATGAAAATAATCAGATGCAGTTATAATTTGAATAGTTTTCTTAGGAAAAATGAAAACAGGTTTTTGTATTGGTTTTATAAAAGTTTCCCCAGATTGACACAAGTTTATTGAAGATTTAAGGCCTTTCTGAAGAAAAATGGTCAGAGAGAAACCAGACTGTTGCTATATGTGAGAAATGAATCTCTCCTGTGGGAAATGGGGGACAACTGATCACATTCTGCTAAAGGAACAATTTGGTTCAGTCAGGAGCATCCGAACCACACACAAAGATCCCCCTTCAGCTTCAGATGAGGTGCAACGTGCTGTTGCCCACCAGGGGGAGCAGCTGGCTGAGTTAGAGAAACCATTCACTGCGTCATCAACTGTGTGTCTTCACCAGGACTCAAAGAGTTAAACCACACATGATGGTCAGCCTATCTGTTGTTACGGTTTATCCTGAGGGGCAGGAAAACTAGAAAAGTTGTCAGGAGCCAAGCAATTCGGCTCTCTGATATAAAACCTGGACAGAGATGTAGCTTTAAAGGGGGCAGTTAGTAAATGTAAGAAGGAGGAAATAAAACTACAGGATATGAAAGTCCAGTGAGAACCATTTCAGAGGGACAAACACTGGTCAGCAACACTCAGCACCATTCATCCTGCTTTTCCCAGCCGGTAATGGACCAGCGGTTATGTCGAGCTTGAAGCTATTCTGTGGGTCTGACCCTGCAGAAAGAGAGTTTCTTGTACCTAAAGATTCAGCACAGGCCTCATCTGTGCCTTTTCTCTTTGGAATGAATGTGATTTTAAAAAAACATGCTAGGAACCAGTGCATGGCAAATTTAAAACCACAATGAATGCAGACAGTTAGTTTATCAGACATGCTTTTGTTTGTCAGGATGGAAGGGAAAGAGACGGTTCATGTGCCAAACCTCATCTGCTGCTACAGTAATGGCAAAAGGACGTTGAACTCAGTGAAAACTGTCCTACTGGACTCTGGCCACGCCCCTTTACCTGGGCCATTGGTAGATGATGTATGAGAGGCATGTCTTTCCTGTCCAGGCCATGAACTCGTGTGATGAGGATGCAAGCCAGCATCAGACTTGGACTTTTGACAGAAGTTGACTCTGTAAATATTGACCAATTGTGTAAAGTTCAGTTTCAGAGAAGTTCAGCAGACATGCATGAAGGCAGCATTCGCAGGCATCCAGAACCACCAACAGTTGTCCAGTCCATCCTTGATGAGCTAAAGGTTAGCCTGACTGCAGAGCAAGATGCTGTTGGGTAAATACTTATTTGTTTTGCAGCAGAAGATGAAAACCTAGGTTACACAGACAAAGTACAACATGAAATTCACCTCACAGAGGACGCACCTGTGACACAGCCTTACCGACGGATTCCAACCACGCAATGAAGCAAGACAACACATTGATAAGTTGTTAAGGAAAGGAGTTATCAAGGAGAGCTCCGGTCCACATGCTTCCCCATTTGTGTTGGTCAGAAAAGCTGATGGTCGTCTAAGGTCATGTGTTGCCTCAGAAAGCTCAACTCCAAACCAGACGCGATGCTTTTCCGCTCCCTAGATGAAAGTTTTGATGCACTGAAAGGACCCAAATTCTTCCGCACAATAGATTTAGTAAGACTCATTCATTTTTGCTAAATTGTTGTATTTAGCTAAACTCTATTGTTGAGGGGCACAAGTAGGACTCGACGCACAGATACAAAATATGTAAGAAAAAAATTCAAACGGGGCACAAGGATAAATGGGGCAAGGGCTCAAGTCCCCTCTGTCTCCCCTCTACATGTGCCTGTACACGAGTAATGAGATCAACAACCGGATGGCGTTGTTATGCAACGCAGGTCAAGGTCCTTCTCAAACTCCCAGGAAAGCATAAAATCAGGCTGTGCCTCCGTTTCCTGCTCATCTGCTTGACCAGAGACGATATAACACTTCGAGTTCGTTCTCAGAGGGACAAGCACCATGGATCTGATAATCACTGTGACTCTTTTCTGCTCAGGTAAGAAAAAGTAGTGCTTTTTGATTTCACTCAGACGTATTTCACCCAGTGATGTCAGTCTAATTCAGAGTGAATCCTATCAGTGTCTTTAGGTTTGGTTTGTACATAGCTACTCAAATCAACTCTTTCACATGTGTGTCTGTAAGAACAGGACAATGATTAGACTTGTTTAAGTTTAGTAAAAAGTAATTCACCGACACACAGAAAACGTTTGAGCGCCAAACTGCCAGATGCAGAAATGCATTTTTGAAACATGAAGGATAATTTTCTCTTGTGGCTCAGATTTGTGGTGAGATTTTACATTTTAACATTATTTTGATGCAAAACCCCAAGTTATCCACACAGAAGTCATCAAAGTCTTTAAATAGTTTATGTGTATTGTGTATAGGAATAAAAATGAATAAGTATAATGTGTTGTATGTCTTAAAAATAAAAGTAATTTTATTTATATTGCACATTTTCTGCAGCAAAGCAAAAAAATGATGCAAAAACATTATTTTAGATTTTACTATTAATAAAACAAACATATGATATAAACTGAATATTAAAAAAATCACAAATTTGATTGTAACATTCAACTCACTGTGTAATTGAAATTCTCGCTTTCTGTTTCTTGTGACATTTGTTGGTTTGGTCTTTAGTGCCCTGTAGCGAGTAAACATAGAAACTGCAGAGGATCTCATTTCACCAGTAACAGCACAGTGAACCCTAGAAGTAAATACGTGAATTTTTTTAACAAATGAAAATTGCAACCATGTACAAATAACCACACTGATTTTTTTCATGTACAAATAATGACACTGAATTTTGTTTTTAGGTCAAAAATATATTCAGAATTTATTTTAACACTGAAAAAGTACACACAAATATGCAACATTCAAATTTCAGAGGCATTTTTTATTCAGATCCTGATGGCACATATTTACTTCCATATAACCCTCGCTATACAAAAAAACCTTTCAGTATTTTTCCCATAAGGCATTGTGTTCTGCGTCCTGATTGGCTAAACAGTCTCTGCGCTTCTTCTCTACCTGTGTGCTAAAAACCTTACTGTATTTACATATACAGCTTGGCAAATTTTGGAACAATGAAATGCGAGTCACAATTTGTCCTACTGTACAACATAGAAATTATTAAAATTATTATTTTACTGTTGTTATTTATAAGAAAGCTTTATATTTGTTTAAAAAAATGCTTGGGCCTGAAAACAGGTTTCGTTTCAGTGTAGGGTATTTAGTTATGCTGTATGATACTTGTAAAAAAATAAAGGTAATTACTTCACGGACAAACGAGGGTTCATCATTAAAAAGAGAAAATAAACAAATAAAACACGTCACAGCTTTGAATTAAATTAATTCAGTGATTTTTTTTTTTTTTTTTTGTCTTTTTTCCTCAGTGCTGAAAGCTGCTGTCGGCTTTAATGTCGACTCCAGTTCTTGGAAAACCCTGAATCATTCTGATGAAAGTTTTGGATCCCATGTGGTGCAAAGACGATCAGAGTGAGTCATCTTGATTTAATTTTTTGTAAATGTTTATAAAATGCCTTCTAACTTTCTTAGTTTCTCTTAGTCTGCTTGTCAGCGCCCCACGACTACAGTATGAACATAATGAAACAGGACAGATATTTCAGTGCTCTACAGATCATTGTCGCCCTCTGTTCACTGCAGGTAGGAATCATTTTCTCCCGATATTACACATGCATAAATTTCACAAGAAAGACAGCTGCACTTACATATTTTATAAGTTGATTTTATGACGAGATATATGCACCAGGAGCTGAAAATATGTTAGGAATGTGATAATGTTCAATTAGTAGGCATAATGATCTTACTGAGGAAGCATTTATTTAGTTTAGTATTTGGATAAAACTGTTTATTTGGTTTAGGGCTAAAATTGCTTCATTTTTTAAAATGCCATAGATTTCTGTCATAATAATGGCCCTTTAAAAACAATGCGATGCATGATGGGATTCATGTCCCCTGATTGTGTTTAGAAAAGAGAAAACTACACAGGATGTAGGCGAAAACAGATTTGGGTCACTTCAGGCTGCAGAGTGAATATAGCCTGAGAAACAAATATTCACTGTAATTTATGGGAACAATTTTTAATGAGCGATGACTTCTTCAAGTCGTCATCAGAAGTGACTGTTTTTCAGAGCAAAGAGCTGCAGTCAACATGTCCCTTGGTTTGGTGATGATACATGATCCATCAACACAAAACACAAAGGTGAGAGGATGAGCTGCAGAAAATAACAAATGTACTCAACAAGAAAATGTAAAATTCAAGACTCAGCAAAAGAGACTTTTGCACATTTTCCAGGTCTGTGGTCCAACCATTCCCAGTGACTGCACAATGATGACCATGTACAATGGTTTGTGCTATGAGATCGATCAGGGTAATGCGATTGGAAAGTCTTACCCGTCTGCGACTGAAGGTAAGTACAGTGAGCTTGTTCCATCATAATTATTTCACTGCCTCTGCAAACTGGAGGTTAACATTCTCATCAACACACTTGAATAACGGTGGTGGAAACTGGTCTGGATCTCTGATCTCTTTTCACAGAGTGTCGAACCCAAGCTGACATTGCATTTCTGCTGGATGGCTCAGGCAGTGTAGCTTCTGTTGATTTCATCAGAATGAAAGTATTTGTGAAAAATCTGATCAAAACATTCCTGGGAAGAGACACACAGGTGAGACTTGTAACTTCATCAAAAACCTTGTTATGTTTCTAAGTGTACATCTCCTTTTAGGTCATTGCTGCTTTTAATTTACTGTAGTTGATTTTTATTGAAAGTAGTTTTAACTTCATATCCATTTTTTCATTTTTGCAGTTTGCCATTACCCAGTTTTCCTTTTCTCCAACAACGCATTACTACTTTAACACTTTTAGAACCTTCAACTGGGAATCTCAAATTGACAACATCCGTCAATTAACCGGAGGAACAAATACTGCTAGAGCCATCCAAAATGTTGTGTAAGTATTTCTCACGTGTTAGAGTATATTTCACCAAATTATTTCAATATTATTATCGAGAAAGCTTAAATACACAAAACTAAATTTGATCATGAAAAGTTTAGAAAGTCAGACATGTTTCAGGAGTTAATGTAGTTTTTACCCACTAGGAAAAATAATTATGAATGAAACTCGAACAACATTCTAGACAGGTTGATAGGTAGATTATTTTTAGATATAAAGAGCAATACCATTACCCTTCTCTTTAAGATATTGTATCGAAACTAAAAATACTTACTTTTGGCTACTTGATAGATGCATATTTAAAAAAAATATGCATATGCAAAATATGCAGTTTCACATGAAACTACTTAATAAAATATGAGAGAAGTAGACTTAAAATAAGATTAAGTCTGTGCACTTATTGCATGATAGTGGGTTAAAATGAATAAAATGTTTTTAGACAAAGATATTTGCTGCCCTGATGTGCAAAGGAGCGCAATATAAAGTATTTTCTGCCCGAGGTGGTCAGTCATTATTCTTAAGTAACCTCTAGAGTGGTGAAACTTAAATTAATACATTTTTTAGCATCGAGTGTACTTACAACTATTACTGCTACTTGTTAAAATATTGTGGTTTGTGTGGGGTTATTTTAATTGTTTTAATTTTTAATCCAGGACAATATTTAAATATTTCTGAAAACCACAACACTGGTAAAACAAAAGCTATGACATGTAGGAGGGGAACAACCCAACATTCCAGTTTGTTCACACGACATTTTTTAAAAGAGAGAAAAAACAGGGGCAACGATGGAGGAACACAAATAATAATAATATATATATATATATATATATATATATATTTTATTTTTTTAACAGGGACGACGTCTTCTCACCACAAAGGGGTTCCAGGTCAAATGTGAAAAGAATTTTAATAGTGATTACAGATGGAGAGTCTAATGATAGACAAAACTTACCCACAGCAACACAGTCAGCTGATCGAAAAAACATTCTTCGATTTGCTATTGGGGTAAGAGGCGTCTATTAATTACAACACAACAATGCTTTTGCATTTTCATACTGCAAAAGGATTGTTATTAAAATTATCTGCATGGTTAAATATTTATTTATAAAGCAAACATAAACATTGACCATTAAATTAATTCATTCAAGGTCTTCATTCTCAGAAAATCTTAGATTTTTGTGTTCTTTTATAAGATCATTTCATGTACTGAATTTAAACGTGTTTGAAAACATGGAAGTACAAATTTTTGTGACTGATTTTGATAACCATAACTACAGTTATGAAAGGAATGACTGGAGCATAATTTCTAATATATTGCATTTACACCTGTAGGTGGGGGACGCATTCACAAATGTTTACGCAAAACAAGAGCTCAGAACGATTGCATCTCAACCTGCTCACGACTTTGTGTTTGAAGTGGGAAGCTTTGATGCTCTTGACAAAATACGGGAGACCTTGCAGGCCAAAATTAACTCCATTGAAGGTACAAATTTATAATTTTCACAAGATTTTACATAAAATAATTTTTACATTCTCAACAACATAAAATGTTTTGAGTCCACATTTTATTTCATAAGTAACAATGACATAAATCAAACATAAATCAAAATGACAATAAATTATCATATTAATAAATATTGCATTTGCATCATCCTTATTTAGTCAGCTTTAATCGAACTCCAATCTGTCTGCCTACAAAGTCCAGTTTGTTTGCAGAGTTGTGAATGCAACCAAAAGAAACATGCAAGTCTAGCACTAGAGGAAGACATGGCTCTTGATCTTTAGCTAAAGACAAAAGATAATTCCTACAACCACTAAAATCTGGTAAAATCACTCCATTTTTGTTTACATTTTGTGAAGAAGGAAGTTTCGCTCAGTGTTGTCTTCTAAAATTTTCATGTTGCTTCCTTCATGGGTTCTTGGTGCAGTGCCCCCACAGTTGAGGAGGGGAACAGCCATATGTAGGTATTTCAGTTTGTTTAACTGTCCAAAATGTTTAAAGAGACTATGTCCTCTGATGTCTGAGACTATTTAACCGTGAAACTCCAGGTTATTCCATGGCTGTTGCTAAAACCAACGATGGTCCACTGACAATTCTTGGTGCTCCAAGAAATCAGAACAAAGGAGTTGTTAAGACTGTTTTCAATGAACAACTGAGAGATGAAATCAGACCCTTTGAATCACAGGTAGGAACAATTGAAACCAGATATTTTTTTTACTGATACTCAATTAAAAAAAAATTTCAGTATCTGTAAATATTCTCAGTAAAGTATATTTCTTGTACATTTTTCCTCTGGTATTATTTTTATTGAGATCCAGCTGCATATGCTCCGAATGCATGGAGCGCATACACAGACGGATAACAGAAACAATAGCGGATAGCATTGTGCTATGTGTGCTACTTAACCTGCTCAGTTTTACACAAACTCTGATAAGGAACATATGTGTTTGTTTTCTCCAGACTGGTGAATATTTTGGGGCTGAGGTTTGTGCCATGGATGTGGATTCTGATGGTGTTACTGATCTCATCCTCATATCCTCTCCGATGTATAAAGACGATGATAGAGAAGGACGTGTTTATGTCTGTGAATTAAGTCGTTTGGTAAATGCTGAGTCATTTATGTTCATTTATTTAACCAAAGTTTTTTTTAATGTCAAGTTCTGTACTGCTAAACATTGGCAAAAAAAACTACTAAGATTTTCTCATCCTCTCATTTTTCCAGGATGTGGTTTGTTATTTTGATAATTCATCACAAATCACCACACTAAGAGGTGATGTGTCTGTCAGAGGAAGGTTTGGGTCGTCTCTTGCTGTTCTGCCTGATATAAATGCAGACACATTCAATGATCTGGCCATTGGAGCTCCTCTAGAGAATGATGGCCAAGGCAGCATCTACATTTTCCAAGGAGAAGGAGGAAGAAAAATAAATCCTACTTACTCACAGGTGAGTGAAACAAAAACACAAACCATTAAATGGTTTTCTTTTTTAAAATGAGTTGAACCTTTATAGTTGGTAGAAAGTGGTAAATTACGATTGTTAGTTTTGTTGGATTCTCTCAATTGCACTGGAAAGTGTGTCCATTTTGACTTGCCTAATAGTTGTATTAGCGCCAGCCAACTCCTAATGGGGGTTAAGCTGATGAGCTTTACCCCCAGCCACACTTTGACTCTGCACAGACAAGCCGATTAAAAAAAATGGATAGATAAACTTGAGAAATCAAGATGTTTCTCATTACACAGAGAATTGCTGCATCTGCCGTCCAATCAGGCCTGAAGTTCTTTGGCATCTCAATCAGTCAGTCTTCCTACGATCAGAGTGGTGATGGACTTCCTGACTTAGCAGTGGGTTCAAAGGGGAAAGTAGTCTTACTCAGGTAAGTCCCCAGTATTGTTATTTATAAACACATATCTTTCCTAGTTCAACAAATTCTTCTTAAATTGCCATCTGATACGATACATTTTTTAATTGCTTCACAATCACAAAACAAACATGATTTTTCTGTTTCTAGATCCAGACCAGTTGTATCAGTGACTGCCACTGTGACATTCAACCCAAATCTGATTCCAACTCAAAACCCAGACTGTTCAAAACAACTGCCAAGCAAGGCTACCGTCTGCTTCACTATGAGCAAACTGTCTAATGTGAATGAAGGTACATTTCTTACTTTAGTTTTTCTATTTTTCCATCATTTTATTTGAGAACTTTAATCAAACAAAACACATCTTGCAGCTAAAGCAGGTCAATTTCACCTTAACTTTGGACGCAAATCGTAAGATACCAAACAACCGAGCTGAGATCAGCAAGGATGTGAGACACAAGAGTGGATCTCTTAATCTTAATTTAAATAGGAGAGAATGCACTGATGTGGACTTCTTTATTGAGGTAAGTTGTAATGTATGCATTGCAATAATATGAAACAATAATATATTCAACAACATTTTAATTGATCATTTTTTATTTCATAATGTTTCCACCATCTTCCAGTCTTGTCCAGAAGATGCTCTCAATCCACTCAATAATGAGCTCAGATTCACATTTGATGGTTTGCCTTCTGGTTCAAACCCAAGACCAAGCCTTTCTCCACAGGTTAAAACCACAACATTTCATCCTGTGAGTAACTCCTGTACATCCTGAATCTGAACAGAAAAATCTTTACTGAGCTTTAGCCTTTCCACTACATGTGATGAGTTACTGCTATGACTGTTTTATGCAAAACTTTAATGTACAACTACATCACACAGTAATTTCAAAAACATATGATTTGACCTAAATATAAAGAATTTTCTGAGCAGATCACCTGAATAGTTTTCTGTCATCCACAGCTTGGCTTTCAGATCTGAGGAGGAGCTGATGAAGAGTGTGAAGATAATTTGAAGGTGGATTTAAACTTCACCAAGTACGTCACTTATTTCTGGAAGTAAAAGCTCAATATGTGAATTTTTACATAACATGTCTGCAAATCCTACATCTCTGCATATCTTTGGCAAAAAGCAGGATCTAAAAGAAATTTCTAAAGTTCAACAAATTTAAGTTAAAGTTTTCCAAAATCTTACACTTTGGTTTTTCCTCTTTTACTGCACATTAAATTAGACTGTTGAATGTCAGGCAGGAGGCTGGCTGTCTCCAATCTCCTGGATGATATGTAAACAAGACGCTCTTTTTCACCTCATTCCCTTCCTGAAGACTTCCGTGCAACTGTGGAGCAGAGTGCTCCAAGGACTTGCTCTAAGATAAGACCACCGTATCAGAGACTGCTGCCAGGGAGAGCGGTCCCATTTTAGACATTTTTATGTTTTCCATTCTCTCTCTAATGCATCTAAAAAAAAGGCATGAAAAGGCAAAAGACATTTTTGGGAATAATTTTGTGCCTTTTGGTGTTGGGAAAATGAGCGGTACCAAAAACTTCCCATATGCTGAGTCATATTGGAACCTGTTACCTAGCAATCCCAGCAGAGCCCAGCACATTTGGTCAGCGTGTTTTATCATTGAATGTACTGTACAATGGCTGCTAGCAAAGACAAGACTTTTGTTGGCCTTTCTGGCTTCACTTACAGTCAGTCTGTACAAGGTGAATAGTCTGTGGTTTTCTAGAAATCCTAAAGATTCTTGTCGGAAATAATTGACAAAACATTAAGCCTTCCAGTATTTATGTTACCATACATGTGATTTTCATTCCATTTTCTTTCCTGTTTTCTCTCAGGCTGGATTTTTCATAAGCAATGACAACAATGTGATGAGTGAAAATGCAGGACGGCGAGCCGGACCTGAAGGAGAAACACTCAGAGAGGGATAAAATTCTCTCTTATCTGTTATCTCCAGCCAGCACATTTTTAATGATGAATATTTCTATGACGTGTAATTGATGGCCTGAATGAGCAAAACATAATGTGTATTTTCCAAATCATTACTTGTTAATTGCTACCTTGAAATGCATCTGCTAAAAATGTAGTTTCTCTTTCTACAGGGAATTGATTAAAACTGCTGTTTCTCTCACCTTCAGCGAAAATTTTGCTTGGCTTCTTTCATCATAAATGTTTTTTTTTTATAATTTGTAATTATCCAAATAAACAAAATCTTTTAAATTTGCTTCTTCATTTTATCCATGTATCTGTGATTTTTGCAAATTGTCTTCAATGACATTCCCTAGGTCCTAACATTTCCTTTAATTTATATGCAGTTCAAAATGCATGTTTTACTTTCATTAAAACAAATGTACGTATTCAGTGGAGTGTGAATTCAAAACACAAGTCTCCTGGCCAAACAATGTTTCATTATTTTGCATCTTCCCGGCTCATATTGCCACTTTATAGCACAATCAATTGACTATGTAACATTTAAGTGTTATAAAAATGCCATATGTTTCAAATATGACTTCAGTTTGAATTCCATAATAATGCTTTGAAATTGCACTTCTATCTCTTTAAGAAACTCCTGCTCTTTCGGCTTTCAGAAAGTCATCCCTCCATGGCTCCATCATTAACACTTTGACAACGTTTGTACCAGTTTCTCTTAGAAGTAGCTCCTATAATGAGCTCAGCAGATCCACCAGGTGTTTGCTAATTGCTGGGGGCTAGTCGTAAGGAGCTGAGTGGAGGAGTCGTGGTGAAACTGCAGCTCTGAGGAGGAGCTGTGTCTGGAAGGCGGAGCTAGGTCCACCCAGGATTTTTGCACAGCTGAATGGTTGCCATAGAGATTAAAGGATTTCTCAAACTTTCATGTAAGAATCAAAGCAACACTCCAAGTTTGACCGAATAAAATTACAATATGATGTAAAGCTCAAAAAAGATTATTTTGTTTTTAGGTTTTATACTTCTAGCTGGAAAAGAAGGATTAATGCATGACCAATAATTCTTAATTTATTAGTTCTGATACAAAGAAAGTTTTAGCCACAAAAAATATTTATTTTTTAAATAAACATTTTTTTGTCAAGTGATTCTTGCCTCTGTTGTTTAATAGTAATTTCCCACATTTGACATTGTAAATCACAAAAAAGGACAATAAAATCCGATCTTTATTCTTCCTTAAATAAATTATCTGAATTATTTAATGAACACAATACAAGAAAGTTGTTTTATTAATATAAATTGTTCTTTATTTCTAATCAAAGCAGTATAAGACACTTTTTTAGCCTTCATATAACTTTAAGCATGTTGTGTTTTAAAATGTTTAAAAATCACTGAACACTGTTATGTTTTTTGTCCACCATAAAATCAACTAGATAAAACAAATTTCACCTGAAAGTCCAAAGCAAACACAAAGCTTCATAAATATTGCATTGCAGTTGTGAATAGTTCACTTTGCATTTCATTATGCTTTATACTTTAATCCACCGTAACTTTGAGCAGCACAGCTCTATTAAATATACTTGCTTTCGTAATTATATCATCAATATACTTACAAAAGCAAGTATATTATCAATACTTACTAACATTAAGAGAAGATACATTATTATCAGTAATTCTGCATAGACTTACTGGTTTGTTGTTCAAACTCATATGTACAAAATAACACAGGGAATGGTTCGAAAAACACACACTGTGTTTGGTACATTCGCTAAATCAAATGACCATCTGATACATTTCATAGAAACAATGATCATTGCAAATGTACTGGAAATTTCATGCGTTTGTGGGAGTTGCTCCTTCGGCTCCTGGTTCTGCTCCTCCTCCTTCATTCTCATTAATCATCTGGTTGTATTTGCTCTTGAAAAATCCAGCCTGAGAGCAACAGGAACGAGAGAACAAGATAAGTGAGGGAAGGCTTAAGATAAACATTTAAAGGTGACTTATCACGCTTCCTTGAACATGGTGGGCGATGCAGACGATGTACATTATATCCGGTCCACAAAATAAAATATTTCAGTCTAATCAGTTCTGCCTTTTTTGAGCTCCTTTCAAAATTAGTTGTTGTAAGATCTCCTCTCACTTTAAGTCTAAATAAGCGGCAATTAGCCATGTCACACCAAATTGACATTTACTGTACACTTGCACACAACAATGGTTTGCAACATATATCTTTGAAAAGCAAATGTGGGGTCTCCTGCACAATCAATACAAATGCAGAAAGTTGACTTATCTGAACGATAAGTCAACAACAAAAATTTGTCTTTTTCAGCAGCCATTGTACTGCGATTAAAACCAGCAGACCAAATGGGCTGGGCTCTGCAGGGGCTGTTAGGTAACATAGCAGTATTACTCAGCTTCTGCTGTTTTTGAAATGGCTAATTTTCCAGACACTAAGAGGCACTCAGTTATTCCTAGAAAATGTCTGGATGAAGAACTTGGGCTGTTTTTAGAGACAGTAGAGACAGAAAGGAAAGCATGAACACAATGAAAATGGGAATTTTGCAAAAAAAAATTAAGAAATCTGTTTGTTGAAATTACTGGTCATGTTTTGTCAATCACTTTCAACAGGAAATCTTTGGGATTTTAAGAAAATCTTAGTTGACTCACCTTATACAGACCAGCAGTTAGTAGAGCCAGAAATGCCAATCCTCCCAGAGATCCTCCTATAATCTCTTTAGTGAAATCTGGTTTGGGAAACACTTCTATCTCTGCTTCAATCTGAAAATGAGAGGTTCAGAAGTTTAAAATCCTTAAAAGGTCTGATTGGTACTAAGATGTTGATAGTAACTTGCTGTCACCTTGTGAACAGGGGGGTCACTATTAGAAGCTGTAGAGAAGAAGATGTACTGGCTTTCATCATACTCTAGACTGGCTGTACTGGTCAGGAGAAACTTAGCAGATGAAAGTCCAATCTGAGAGACAGAAACACATATCCGGGATGATGAGATTTTTTATATATATATTTTTTTTTTTTACATTTTACAGCCTAGTCAGTGCATCTATATCAACTTCACATCATTTACCTGTTCTATCCATCCTGAACTGATGTTTGCAGAGATGGTGTATGTTTTTTCCTTGTTTCTTTCCATGAACTCAGAGCACCTGAACACTCTGCACTTCGCAACAGTGCAGTCCTGTTCCAAAATTAAAGATCCATGATACTGATTAACTGTGAGAATTTCAGAAGACTAAATGCAAAAACTGAATCAAAAGGCATTTTAAGAAAGTATTAATTCTGTGATGTGAATCCAATATTCAGTCATGAATTCACAGTTTAAATACACAAGATACATGTCACATTATGTGAAACATATTTGGAAATAGCTTAACATTTCTTTAAACGTTAAAGAGCTACTCCTTTATTAAAAAACACTGCATAAAGACATACTTACCAATATTTTCTTTTCTTTTATTGTATTAACAAAGTCAGTGTCAGTAGGTTCTTCATCTCTGCTGCTCTGACAGTCTGGAATCTGAAAACAGAGCTCCACCTCATCAGTTTAAGTCTTATTTACATTTAATTATTTCTAGGTGGAGCATTTGTCACCTGAAAACTGCTCATGTCCACCCAGATGTCTTTGCCACCAAGTTTTACAGGAACTTTAATCACCACAGTCAAATTTAGTGGTCTGATGGTGTTAAAAACCTAAAAAAGTGGGAATAAAACATAAAGAACCCAAATGATATTAATACTGTATTTGAATATAGAAGCCATTTCTGATCTAACTTATTAAAATTTTCTTTTACCTTTATTTTTTGCTCAAGTGGTTTCTGAACAGCATTTTCACCAAATGTGAAATTGTTGTAGCTGAGGGAGCTGAGCACACATTTCATACATTCATTTAATAAGATATATTTAAACTATTGACGTTTTTTTAAATAAATTATTCATTCCACTTAACAAACCTTTCAATTGTGACAAAAACACTGTACTTGACATCAATGTCTTTGTTTTTGTAAAGTTCACTGGAAGGGGAATGGCGCTCATTGTCACTATAAAAGCAAGATCAAATAAAAATTAGTTAAAACTTCAGCATCAAAGAGCTGCACCTTAAACTCATAAATTGTACCTGGTGGCGGTCGCAGTCACTTCGATCTTTCTACGAAGATCACTGTTGGTGTTGAAACCATATGAGACAATGAAGATTGCCTAAAACGGAAATGAAAGAGGGATCAGAAGACGTCCTCTTCTACTTAAATAATGAGTGAAGGAGCAGCACAAACTAACCGCAGAGTTGCTTCTGAATATTGGTTTGTCGATACTACAGACTGTCTTTCCTTTAGTTACACCATCCTCACTGTCCACAGAGTTGCACTCAATTCGTCCCTGCAATAAAACACAGATCATCAGCTTGTTGCAGAAGCTTCACCAACATAAATTAATGTTAGTGTCTTACTTCCAGACGTGTAACCTTCCTGTAGGAGAGCCCAACGGGGTATGTGAGAGTAATGCGACTGTTGTACGAGTTTTCTCCTCTGTTCTTCACTGAGACAGTCACATTCACAAGTTCATCTATGCCGACCCTAACCACTGAGGATCTGAAAAAACATGATAAATGACAAGTGCATAAAGCTTGTGATATCATTTATTGTCCACTCTACATTTTGGTCAGTCCGTGCTGAACATTTAACATTGAATATTTTTTAAAATGGGAAAACTTCACACAGGAAAATGTGATTTTTGTTTTCAAGAAGAGACAGTAAAACATGTCTTATTGTTCTGTTCCAAATTTTCAATTGAGAGAAAGGAACTGGTTTGTTTACCCAAGCAATTGCAGTTGAATATACAAGCCGTTTTGCATAAACTTTTCTGTTTTGAATCTTTTTTTTTGTTGTTGTTGTTGTTAGGGCACCTTAAGAAGTAAAATCAATAGAGAGAATGTGATTACTTTGTCCAGGCTGACCCTGAAACATTCGGACCAGAACCCCTCCAAACCTACTCGGGACAAGAGTCTATAGGAAATGGATGAATGGATTTTTTTTTTATTCTTAGTTTTAAAAATTGCCTATCGATCCACACTCCATTCCAATATGTGGCGGTAATGCACATCTAAAAGTTGCTTGCCAGCCGTCATAAAAAGGAATACATAGTAGTTCTGTTCCTAACCACTAGGGGGAATAGCAGAATAAGACAAAGAGATGTAAAACGGAGAAGAAATTGTGCTTGACAATAATTGCCGACGTGTTTTGCTCTCTTGTAAAGAACAAAACCCACAAATAAATCTTCCCGGATGCGAATTAATCAGTAGCTCGACTTCTTGAAATGGTTTCAGAAGACAGTCAGTGGAAGATTTAAGCATCAAAATGGCGGCGCGTCATTCGCCGGAGCCGTCAGACTTTACCCAGCCTGGAAGAAGGACTTCTCCCCGGATCAGATCGCTCAAAGCTCGACCAGGAAGACGGTGAAGTACAAATAAATACACCTTTTTATGTTATGGCAAAGAGGCAGAGCTAATATTTAGCGCCTTTACTTTCATGGTAGATAATGAATAGGACTATTATGAAGTGATTTTTACCGAAAACGTAATGAAAGTTTATGATTCACAGACTCGCCCAGCAACAGGGAAGAGTCGTTTCAGTTAACCTCTCGCGATATGCTAGTAATCTCATGATAAATCATTTCCATTGTCACGATGAACGTTTTTAAGGGCAATTTTGATGGCAGATACTTCAGAATCTATTTTTAATTTAATATTTGCTGTGTTTAACAGTTTGTTCTATGTAAAAAAAATAAACAGGAAAAAAAGTTTATTCACCCACTGAAAAGCAGGAGTTCACATTTTTCTATGCTTCTGATGTATTGCATTATAATGATGTTTTACTATAAAGTGGGATTTAGGCACTGAAGAAGTGAGATGCTAGTAGTTTGACTAATAGTTATGTTTCTAACCAGCAGGGGACACAGCAAAATAAAATGGAGAGACATAAAACAGAGAAGCTGCTGAGCTGGAGAATGTGTTGTGTTTTATCCATCTGTTAAGAAACTCACAAATAAATGTTCTTGGATTGTAACCTGTGAGTGACTCGACTTCATGACAAAGGTGAAGCCAAGTGCAAAGAGACCTTCAAAACTGGACTAACAGTCAGCGCAGAGGTCAAGACTGTGAAAACATAGTAGCATCTTCCCTGACCTTAATATTGAAGAGTAGTGCTGAATCTTACTATGCAGTAAATCCTCAATATCTTGCAAAATATGATTACATTTGCATTTATGTATGATGATAGATGTGACTTTTTGCTACTTGCCGTCAGATCATTTGGGAATGTGCCAAAAGAAATATTTCTGGGACATAAAACAGAAGAAGCACAGTCTGAGATTTATTGTAAATCTTACTTTTACCAAACAAATACAAATGTGTAAGTTTTGCAGACATAACGTATATAGTTCACCGGACATATCAAGGCTTTACTTTCAGAAACAAATCTCTTACTTGGTGAAGTTAAAATCCACCTTCAAGTTATCTTCACACACTTCATCAGCTCCACAACTGATCTCAAACCCAATCTGTGAATGACAGTAAACCATTAAGCAGATCGACTCAGAGTCACAAAAAGTCACATTTAGGTCAATCCTATGTTTTTGAAATTACTTTGTGATTTAATGTTTTGTATAAAACGGTCCTACTGGTAACCATAAAAGAAACTCATCAACCAGACGTGGGAAGTTTAAAGCTCAGTAAAGATTTTTCTGTTCAGATTCAGGATGTACAGGAGTTACTCACAGGATGAAATGTTGTGGTTTTAACCTGTGGAGAAAGGCTTGGTCTTGGGTTTGAACCAGAAGGCAAACCATCAAATGTGAATCTGAGCTCATTATTGAGTGGATTGAGAGCATCTTCTGGACAAGACTGCAAGGCATTGAGATATAAAGGTGATTAATTAAAATAACTATTGAATATTATACAGTTGTATAAGATTACTGTAACAGTTCCATTATAACTTACCTCAATAAAGAAGTCCACGTCAGTGCATTCTATCCTATTTAAATCAATTTTAAGAGATCCACTCTTGTGTCTCACATCCTTGCTGATCTCAGCTCGGTTGTTTGGTATCTTACGATTTGCGTCCAAAGTTAAGGTGAAATTAACCTGTGCTTTAGCTGCAAGATGTGTTTTGTTTGATTAAAGTTCTCAAATAAAATGATGGAAAAATAGAAAAACTAAAGTAAGAAATGTACCTTCTTTCACATTAGACAGTTTGCTCATAGTGAAGCAGACAGCAGCCTTGCTTGGCAGTTGTTTTGAACAGTCTGGGTTTTGAGTTGGGATTTGATTTGGGTTGAATGTCACAGTGGCAGTCACTGATACAACTGGTCTGGATCTAGAAACAGAAAAATCATGTTTGTTTTGAGATTATGATGCAATTAACAACTTTATTGAGAGTTTTTATTGTTTAAACATATTTAGGTTGCAAATGGAGAATAATTTGTTAAATTCTTTAAGATATGTTAAGATATGTGTTAATAAATAACAATACTGGGGACTTACCTGAGTAAGATTACTTTCCCCTTTGAACCCACTGCTAAGTCAGGAAGTCCATCACCACTCTGATCGTAGGAAGACTGACTGATTGAGATGCCAAATAACTTCAGGCCTGATTGGACGGCAGATGCAGCAATTCTCTGTGTAATGAGAAACATCTCGATTTCTCAAGTTTATCCATCAATTTTTTATAATTAACCTAATGTAAGTACTAGGTAAGACATAATGGGCACATTTCTAAGTATAATTTAGATAAGCCAACAAACCTAACAATCGTGATTAAGCACTTTCTGAGGAAGCCAGAGTCGCTGAGAGAACTTCAAGAATAATGTGAAGAACATTCAATAAAGATCCTACCAACTGTGAAGGTTAGACTCATGTTGATAAATAAAACCATTTGATGGTTTATGCTTGTGTTTCACTCACCTGTGAGTAAGTAGGATTTATTTTTCTTCCTCCCTCTCCTCGGAAAATGTAGATGCTGCCTTGGCCATCATTCTCCAAAGGAGCTCCAACGGCCAAATCATTGAATGTGTCTGCATTTATATCAGGCAGAACAGCAAGAGACGACCCAAACCTTCCTCTGACAGACACATCACCTCTTAGTGTGGTGATTTGTGATGGATTATCAAAATAACAAACCACACTCTGGAAAAATGAGAGGATGAGAAAACTTTATTTTCTCATTTAACAGGAGGTTAAATAAATGAACATAAATGACTCAGCATTTACCAAACGACTTAATTCACAGACATAAACACGTCCTTCTCTATCAACGTCTTTATACATCGGAGAGGATATGAGGATGAGATCAGTAACACCATCAGAATCCACATCCATGGCACAAACCTCAGCCCCAAAATATTCACCAGTCTGGAGAAAACAAGAAGAAATGGACATCAGAAACAAGCCTAAATTTGTTTACACAGTTAGTGTTATAACGCGATCACAATAATTCAGAAATAGCATTCAGCAGCAATACCAATGTTAACTAATGGGCCACAAGTCATATGAAACACGTATCCTCTGTTCAATTAATTCCCTCTGTCACTGAGAATGTCAACATTTGTACATCTTAATTGGTTAAGTACAAAGAAAATGTACCTGAGCCTCTGAATTTGTAAAAAGTAATCAAATAATTTCTAAAACATTTCATCAATTTTGTATTTAGCAAATGGTAGTAGCTTTGGTTTTCATAGCTGACCTACAACAACAATAGTTTGGTCTAATTTAATGCCAGACACAGAGGAAAGACAGTTGTTCATCTTTTTATAGAATGGATGTATTGTTCCTACCTGTTGTTCAAAGGGTCTGATTCGATCTCTCAGTTGTTCATTGAAAGCTGTCATAACAACTCCTTTGTGTTGATTTCTTGGAGCACCAAGAATTGTCAGTGGACCATTGTTGGTTTTAGCAACATCCATGGAATAACCTGGAGTTTAACGGTTAAATAGTCAGAGACATCAGGGAAAATAGTTTTTTGAAATGTTTAAATGTTTTGGGCAGTAAAGTTGTGAAACAGATTGCAGTATCTACACTCTGCTTTTTAATAGACAAACATCAGATATCTGGATCGAACTTTTTCTGAAATCATACAGTAAAAGTCACATTTTGTCCTGTTCTTACCAAGGTAACTGTCAGGCTCAATGGACGATGGCTCAAATGATACTGTGTTTAAAACATTGCTAAGCAAGTATTTCTTGTAGCCTCCTTTCCACTGGTTAGCACCAACCATTGTCATCTGAATATACTGCAATGCAAGAACAGAGAGAACCTTTTACTTCAAATACGGGTTTTTAACGCCGTAAGACTCGGAACATTTTTCTTTCTTATTTACCCCAGACACATAAGCTGTTCTGAAGCCTTCTTGAGACATTTCTTGTTCCAGCGTCTCTCCACCACTTTGTGATCCTGTAAATTCAAAATAAATTAAGTATTACTTTACACAGTTCTTTTGAGTTCCTCTACACCACAGAGCACAACAGTAACTTAAATTTAGTCAATACTGAGTAGTTCTATATATTTGTCTTTTGTATTTGTAGCTAGCCACTGTTTGCTATGAAACAAAATGTGTTCATGTCACTGAAAAATGAACAAATGTTTCAGATGTTAAGTTATACATTTATACCTTCAATGGAAAAAATTTTGGCCTGCAAGTTGTCCCGTATTTTGTCAAGAGCATCAAAGCTTCCCACTTCAAACACAAAATTGTCAGCAGGTTGAGATGCAATCGTTCTGAGCTCTTCTTTTGCATTATATTTTTTGAATGCATTCCCCACCTAGAGGCAGAAATACAATGCGAGTAAAACATTATGCTGCAGTAGTTCTTTTCAAAACAAACATATATGTTTGCATGTAATTGTAAAAGAAAAATAATAGAAACCGCTTACCCCAATAGCGAATCGAATAATGTTTTTTCGATCAGCTGACTGTGTTGCTGTGGGTAAGTTTCCTCTATCATTAGACTCTCCATCTGTAATCACTATTAAAATTCTTTTCACATTTGACCTGGAACCCCTTCGTGGTGAGAAGACATCATCCCTGTTAAAAAATATATTATTATTATTTGTGTTCCTCCATCGTTGCCCCCTTTTTTTTCTCTCTTTTGAAAAATGTCGCGTGAACAAACTGGAATGTTGGGTTGTTCCCCTCCTACATGTCATAGCTTTTGTTTTACCAGTGTTGTGGTTTTCAGAAATATTTAAATATTGTCCTGGATTAAAAATAAAATCAATTTAAAAAAAAACACACACAAACCACAATATTTAACAAGTAGCAGTTGTTAGGAGTATAAAGTTGGTTAAATTAATTTTAGAAAACAGTTAACCTTTGTGCATATGAAATATTAAATGTAGCATGAACATTTTGAGTAGTTTCTAAGTTAGGTAAACTTAGATAAAGATCCAAACTAAAACAACTGCTGACTCTCTGAACTTAAATAAATTTCTAAGGAGGGTCTTCAGACAGGTGGGGGTTGTACTCCCTCAAGGGGTATGGAGACACAGGGAGTCTGTCTCTTATCAGGATCACTGAATTCTTGGGTGTTGGTTGGAGAGTTCAGTAAACACTAAAACTTTAAGAAAAGTCTTCTACAAGTATAATCAAATGTATTAAGATAGCTCCCTTAAGCATTAACAGCATGTTCTGAATTAGTTAGTCTCTAACTATAATATTGCATGTATTTTATATTACTGAAATACAATAGGATTAGGAAACTATTTTACTTCCAAAATATTTCAGGTATTCTAAATGAGCTTTTCTTAAAAAAGATAACCCTGCAGTTTTTAGATCCAAACTCATAGTTATTATTTGGCATTAGATTTTTGTGCCAGTTTAAAATAGAAATTAGTTTCTTGTTGAATTACTGAGACAGAAAACCATTACGTCTAGCTGCAGCTCATAAATTTTGGTCTGGAATGTCAAAGGAGGAGACTGGTACGAGACGACTCTAGTGGAGTCTCCATATATTTGCTTATCGGTTTTTTAGCAGATCTCAAGCAGGGTAATAAAATTAACATTAAACAGCCCTGCAATAGGGAAGACACACCTTCTAATGCATATATTTCAATTAAGGGAATACACATCCTTACAAAAAGATCTGTTTTACAGCAGAAGATCGAATTGCTTTGTTCATCAGTGAGCAATTCCCAAAAATGCATTTTTGTCTTTCCTTTTCCACTCGTTGCAGGTAATTCTATGTTTCGTCATGTGTTGGACTTCTTGATGATCTGGGTGTAATGCTGATGTAACAATTATGTATGCATTGAATTCTCTGGATAAAGCTCTAGATATTTATGAAGTCTGATGTCGAATGGTTGTTTCCCTGCACATTGCGGAGTCCTGGATCTGGGAACTAGAGGAAAATTAGGAGCCAAGTGAAGTTATTCCTCTAAGTTTTAACACAGTAATAGTCGTAAGGACACTCGAATGCTAAAAAATATATTCATTTAAGTCACACCACTCTTGAGGCTATTTATGCATAATGACTGACCACCTCGCCAGAAAATACTTTATATTGCGCTCCTTGGCACATCAGGGCAGCAGATATTTTTTTCTAAAAACATTTCTTTATTTTAACTCACTATCATGCAATAAGTGCACAGATTTAATCTTCTTTTAAGTCTACTCTCATATTTTATAAAGTAGTTTGATTTGCTTTATTTTTTTTTATATATGTAACTATCAAGTAGACAAAGGTAAATATTTTTAGTTTCCTTACGATATCTTAAAGACAAGGATAATAGTATCTATCTTCTCATCTAAAAATAATCTACCTATCAACCTATCATAAATCGTCAGATTTTCATTCATCATTATTTTTCCTAGTGGGTAAAAACTACATTACCTCCTGAAACAACATGTCTCTTTAAACAGAAAAATTGACTTTCTAAACTTTTCATGATCAAATTTAGTTTTGTGTATTTAAGCTTTCTCGATAATAATATTGAAATAATTTGGTGAAATATACACTAAACACGTCAGAAATACTTACACAACATTTTGAATGGCACTAGCTGTATATGTTCCTCCATATAACTGATGGATGTTGTCAATTTGAGATTATATTATTTGTGTTCCTCCATCGTTGCCCTGTTTTCTCTCTTAAAAAAATGTAGTGTGAACAAACTGGAGTGTTGGGTTGTTCCCCTCCTACAGTCATAGCTTTGTTTTACCAGTGTTGTGGTTTTCAGAAATATTTAAATATTGTCCTGGATTAAAAATTAAAACAATAAAAACAACAACAAAAAACCCACAAACCACAATATTTAACAAGTAGCAGTAATAGTTGTAAGTACACTCAATGCTAAAAAATGTATTAATTTAAGTTTCACCACTCTAGAGGTTATTTATGCATAATGACTGACCACCTCGGGCAGAAAATATTTTATATTGCGCTCCTTGGCACATCAGGGCAGCAAATATCTTCGTCTAAAAACATTTTATTTATTTTAACCCACTATTATGCAATAAGTACACAGACTTGATCTTATTTTAAGTTTACTTCTCTCATATTTTATTAAGTAGTTTAATCTGAAACTGCATATTTTGCATATGCATTTTTTTAAAAATATGCATCTATCAAGTAGCCAAAAGTAAATATTTTTAGTTTCCATACAATATCTTAAAGAGAAGGGTAATGGTATTGCTCTATATATCTAAAAGTAATCTACCTATCAACCTGTCTAGAATGTTGTTCGAGTTTCATTCATAATTATTTTTCCTAGTGGGTAAAAACTACATTAACTCCTGAAACATGTCTGACTTTCTAAACTTTTCATGATCAAATTTAGTTTTGTTTATTTAAGCTTTCTCTATGATATATTGGAATAATTTGGTGAACTATACTCTAACATGTGAGAAATACTTACACAACATTTTGAATGGCACTAGCTGTATATGTTCCTCCACCTGATTGACGGATGTTGTCAATTTGAGATTCCCAGTTGAAGGTTCTAAAAGTGCTAAAGTAGTAATGCGTTGTTGGAGAAAAGGAAAACTGGGTAATGGCAAACTGCAAAATGAAAAAGTGGATATGAAGTTAAAACTACTTTCAATAAAAATCAACTACAGTAAATTAAAAGCAGCAATGACCTTAAAGGAGATGTACACTTTGAAACATAACAAGGTTTTTGATGAAGTTATAAGTCTCACCTGTGTGTCTCTTCCCAGGAATGTTTTGATCAGACTTTTCACAAATACTTTCATTCTGATGAATCATCAGAAGCTACACTGCCTGAGCCATCCAGCAGAAATGCAATGTCAGCTTGGGTTCGACACTCTGTGAAAAGAGATCAGAGATCCAGACCAGTTTCAAACCCCGTTATTTAAGTGTGTTGATGAGAACGTTAACCTCCAGTTTGCAGAGGCAGTGAAATAATTATGATGGAACAAGCTCACTGTACTTGCCTTCAGTCACAGACGGGTAAGACTTTCCAATTGCATTACCCTGATCGATCTCATAGCACAAACCATTGTATGGTGATAGTTTTGCAGTCTCTGGGAATGGTTGGACCACAGGCCTAGAAAATTTGTGAATATACCTTTACATTTTTATCCTTTATTTATTCATTCATAATTTTCTGCAGCTCATCCTCTCACCATTGTGTTTTGTGTTGATGGATCATTTGCCATTGCCAAACCAAGAGACATGTTGACTGCAGCTCTTTGCTGTAAAAACAATCACTTGTAATGACGACTTGCCCAAATTATCACTCATTAAAAATTATTCCCATAAATTACAGTAATTTGCAGCATTCACTTTGTTTTAATCTAAATGTCTCCCAACTGAAGTCTTATAACACCAGTTTGGTCAAAGGTTGACTTAGCCAAATGTTGCTCCATAAGCCTTAGATCACAAAAAGGATAAGGAAGCTGTTAAAGGGAATTTTTTGCTCTATTTTTAATTAAATGGCAACAAGATTTAAAAACAAGAAGGGAAGGTTGACCTTGGATAAGAAAGATTTTTTCACCCTTATGGATTTTGTCCTTTTGGGGCCTCAAATAAATTTTGGCATCCAACAGAGCAAATAGAGAAGCTAATAATTTCCCCTAAACCTGGGTGTTCACTGGATGTTACATTATCTTTGGCTAATATTGAAACTTCAGCTTAAATATCTAAGTTTGATGGAGGAAATACTTGTTTACTGGACTGCATGTCTGACATTGTTCAGAATTTAGTGCAAAATCCTTGGAGCTCCTGGTGCATACCACATCTGGTTATGAGATCAAATTTGTAAGTTTAAATATCTTTATTGTGAAATTTGTTCATTCACAATATCAGGAGTAAAATGATTCCTACCTAGAGCAGCAAGATTGCTGCAACTGCCTCCCCTGTTGCACTGATATATCCGTCCTCTTTTATTCCCTTGGTACTGCTGTAGTGGGGCACTGACAAGCAGACTGAGAGAAACACAGACAAACATTGGTTACAACATATTACAAAAGAGATTTTAAAAATTAAATCAAGATGACTCACTCTGATTGTCTTTGCACCACCTGGTATCCAAAACTTTCATCAGACTGACTCAGGGTTCTCCAAGACCCAGAATCAACATTAAAGCCGACTACAGCTTTTAGCACTGAGGAAAAAAAGAAGAAAAAATCCACAGAATTTTTTTAATTCAATCAATCAAATTTTATTTGTATGGCACATTTCATCAGCAAGGCATTTAAAAGTGCTTTACATAATAAATACAAAAATACAATGTCATGCAACATAAAATCAACAATCAAGAACTACATTAAGTTAATATGTTTAATATTAAACATATTAAATAATGTTTAATATTTAATATATTAAACATTTTTAATATTTAACCTACAAAACTCTCCCAATTGACATTGACCTACTGGGCCCTTCAAAAACTCAGTTAAATGTGATATTTATAATTCAAAGCTATTATGGTTTTGCTTTTACTTTTTGTTAAATTATTCTGTTTTAATTACTGAGTTTGCTAATATTTTGATGAAGACTTCAGGAGAGAACTAATATGTTCTGCAATGCCTGAGTTTAACCACCAGGAGGCACTAAAGACCAAACTTTTTAAATGTCATAAGAAACGGGAACAAGAAAGTGACCAGTGTAAGTTGAACATTGCAGTCAAGTTTTAATATTTATTTAGAACAGATAAATGTCTCGATGTGCCATAATGTTGAACAAAAACAAAACTGAAGTTATTTTGTTTGGACCCAAAGAAACAATACAGAATCAGCACATATATTCAGTTCAATAAATAGAAATTATTGATCAGGCCCACAATCTGAGTGTAGTGATGGAGTCAGACCTGAACGTTCCGAGTCTCATAAATACGGTTGCAAACTCGGCCTTCTATCACCTGTAGAACACGTCCAGACTTAAAGGAGCAAGATCTAGAGAAATTCAACCGTACGTTCATCTTCAGTTGCATTGATTCTTGCAAAGGTGTCTTCACAAGTCTGCCTAAAAAAAGTAATCCTCCAAAATGCTGCTGCTCATGTTCTGACTAAAACCAGGACGTCGTAGCACATCGCCCCAGTTTTAAGGTCCCTCTACTGGCTCCCTGTAGCTCAGAGGATAGACTTTAAAATACTGATGTCAGTTTATAAATCTTTGAACGGCTTAGCAACTCAACACATTAAAGATCAGCTGTTGTCATAGCAAACTTCCAGACCTCTCAGGTCTTCTGGTTCTGATCTGCTGTGCATCTAGATCCGGAACCAAACATGGAGAAGCAGCATTCAGCTTCTATTCGCCACAAATCTGGAACAAACTTCTAGAAAACAGGAAAACACCTGAAACACTGAGTGCCTTTAAATCTAAACTAAAAACCCACCTGTTGAGAGTTGCCTTTCATTTGTTGTAACGACACATTGATCAGCATATCTGATGTTTTTCCTTGATAATTTTGATGATGACATTTGACAAAATGCAATGTCTATTGCTAGTAGAGGGGCACCGATTGCAGTTTTCTGGCCAATCGCTGATTTTTTGCCCTTTAGAAAGTCTGACCTGCTGATTCTGAGATTTGCTGATTCCTTTTTTTCTGAATTTTTGCTAAATATAGCCATAAAGTCGCTGAGTTGGCAACAGGGGGCTGACTGTTAACTGGAAAAAAGCACACATGACCTGGTGGGCATGTCTGGAAGAGGACAGTGGTCGACTTTTAGACCTTTGCTGAGGTAGATAAGATTATTGGGTAAGATCGGCTTCAAATGTAAGTATCGATCACAATCTCACAAAATTAACAAAAATTAAGGAACCCCTAATTACTTGTTTTATAATCAATGACTGTGTGATGTAAAGCACTCCTAACTGCCTTGGTGCTGAAATGTGCTATACAAATAAACTTGACTTTCGCTGTTAGAATCGATTTCTACACTTCATACGAAGTGTTGGAAAGCGTGTGGTCTGTGTTTTCTATACTTCCTGTTCTTGTACCATTTCTAAATGTCTCTGTGTCCTTTTGGTTTTGACTCTTTCACACCTGGTTGTGGTGTATTTGTGTACCACTTATTTACCGGTCTGTGTTTTGCTATTCGTTCTCTGACAGCTGTCTCATCTGCTTCTCGGTTGATTCTTATTCCACTCATCAGTTCATCTCAGAATATGTTCCCCTTTTGATTCTTTAGTCACTGCTGGTTCATCTGCTTTGTCAGCCGGCCTGCTTTGTGTAACTCATTGTCTTCCTCTTTCTGGTTTGTTATACATTTATTTAGTTTCATTGTCTTATTGTTAATTTTTGTCTCATTGAACACACATTTTCACTTCCCTTCTGCCTCCCATTGTCCTGTATTGGGGTGCTACTCACCCACTGCCACGAAGATTGTGACAGTAAAATGTTTTCAGTTACTTTTACAGAAAACCTGCATTTAAAACCTTTCATCCAAGAGACACCATTAAAAGTTCAGCTTTTTTCTGTTTGCTTCTGCCACCAGTTCACTCAGCCAATCTCAACATTTTCACTTGATTTCACATTCAGTGTTTTCTTTATTTAAGCAGGTTCAAACCCCACAGAGATAAAAGTCTCATTTGAAAGAGGAACTTGTGTAAACATTGAAATGCTTACACAGAACAAAGATGTATACAACAGTTAGACCATTAAAAATTAATTTAAGAGCGTTGACTCTCGTTAATAGATTCACGTTGCTTATTAAGAAAAGTTCAAAATAATTCCAAAGAAATAAAATCCAACATTTGAGAACTGTCGAAAAGTATGGACTAAGTAAAAGACGATATTTGTCATATTGAAGAACATTTAATAGTCACAGTTAAAGTAGTTACACAGTTGCATTTAAAAGTTAAATGTAATGACAATTTTAAATTGTAATGACAATTTTTAACATAAATACTGATGATAAATCACTGAAAGATAAAGGAAGCAAATCCAAATGCAAGTATAAAATGTTTCTCACAGACTGAAAAGTGATCAAGACTTCAGCATCTTGAGGAATTAAAGTAACTGTCTGCTCTATTGCACCAAGAGACTTAAAAGGGAAATGGCCTGCACTTGCCTAGCACTTTAAGTTTAGAGTACTTGAAACTGGTTCACACTGCATTCAGTTATTCACATTTGCAGACTTAGGAGTGGGGGTTTGAGCTGGTTACAAGACAAATTCCTATCACCATCGCCACATAATAAACTTTACTTTTGTTACATTTTACTTTTGGATGATATACAAAAGCTATTTAAATGTTCTTATCTCTTGTACTTCTATGTCATTTTTGTGTTTGGTTTTTTTTTACGCGTCCAAGATAAAACAGAAGATTATTTTACTGTCTGCAGCTTCCATCAGATAATTAGTTGTCACACTGGCAGATCACGTAAAATATCTGCATAAAATCAGAAGAAACAAACTTTTCTTACCTGAACAGAAAAGTGCCACAGTAATTATCCAATCCATTGTGTTTCTGGCATCGAGATCAAACTAAAAGTGTGATTTCTACCCTGGTCAACCAATTTAAACTGAGAGGGTGTGCATTACTTTTTTCTTGACGTAGGAGGAGTTACAGCAGGTCACTTTTAACTCAAATGAGAAATATTTTCATTTACCTTCTTCTCTTCTGACCTTTTAACATTTTAATGTGAGGTCAAGCAGCTTCAGTTCAGGGTAAACCAATGGGTGGAGGCAACAGAATCAGTATTTAGTCATCTGTGTTTGGGTTATCTTAAGTAATGTCCTAATAAGGCATTGTTTTGCCATCTGCGTGGGTTTGGTTATTTAGCTTAATCTGGTCATGAAGAAATTAAGTCACATCCTTAAAAGTAACCCTCTGTGAGTGTTTGTTGTTGCCTGCCCTGATAGATAGCAGCAGTTTCCTTTCTGAAGTAAGCACAATCTTTCTACTGTGGTTTTGATGAATTACTGATGCTGCTTAATTTACATCAAAACACAAAATCTTACCAAGTATTCTTGGTCTATGTCTTAGTACACTTATAAGCAAAATACAGGAACTTGTTTAAAGTCAACAATTCCTTAATAATGATCAAAAGTATTAGTTCCATGAGCAGATTATTTCACTTGTAACATAGAAAAATTTATTATTATAAGTGAAATGATCTGCTGGTGGAACTAGTAATTTTTCAATCAACACTAAGAAATTATTTTTAAGCTCCTTTGTTTTGCTGCAAAGTGACTTGTAAATGAGCTTGAACTTATTTCAAGTGTATTAAGATATTTGCACTAGAAACTAAAGAAAAAATCCCAAAATTACTATTCACTAATAGCTTCTAATTACTTTTTGCATCAAATATCGGGTGCTTTGGTCTGTTTTACTCATAAAATATAGAGGTAGCAACAAACACACTGCTGTTTGCAAGCAGGTTTCTGATGCAATGTGTTTTTGTGCAAGAGTGTGTGTTTGGAGGGAGGGTGAGGATCCGTGCAGGACGTTTTACCCAACTTCCTCACTTTCAGTAAATTTTGCAAAAAAAGAGAAAAGTTGGTTCAAAATAAGCAGAAGCAAACATTGATGCTTCATTATATAAGAAGCGCTGTCTGGCAAAAACAAAAAACAATAAATAAATCAATCATACCATCTTGAAAGTCTTCTCTGGTGTTACATGATGTTCAAAACTAAACTAAAAAGAAGCTAATTACTTTAAAATTAAATGGAAAATACATATAAAAATCTAAAATGCATGACATGCATTATTATCTAGCCTTTTTACTCTGATATCTTTACTTTAAAAATCCAATGCATAGGAAGCAGAACATATTGCTATGACATGTTCTGCTCACCATTGTGAAATCCTCTCTTTAGCTGTGGTTTGGTTACACTTTAAAGTCAGCAGAAATTAAATGGATTCACTGATGACTGGTTTGCAACCCTGGATGGTCCAGATGTACACAGTAGTGGATTGGTGGTGGATGGCCACCACGTCCCAACACGGCTGTGACGTCAGCAAGAAGGTGACGGAGTCATTTTTTGGGCCAAAATCTTGGGGAAAGAGAGAGAGAGAGAGAGAGAGACAGAGAGAGAGACAGAGAGAGAGAGCTGGTTTGCCCCTTCAGAGTGAAGGTGTGAAAATAACCTTAGCAAAGTATAGACTTTCTGACTGATCACTTTCTTTCATGGTTCAAAAAGAAGAGCCATACCTTCCGTAGCAAAATCATCTTCATGCATGACAATGAATGCTATAAGGAATACCTCTGTGTCATTGGCTGCTGTGGGCATAAAAAGGGGAGAAACTCATGGTGTGGTCACCATCCTCCTCTGACCTCTGACCCTATTGAGAACCTTTGGAGTTTCCTCAATTAGAAGATCTGAGGGTGGGATGCAGTTCATGTCAAACAGCAACTCTGAGAAGGTTTTCTGACATCCTGCAAAGAAATTCAAGCAGAAACTTTCCACAAACTCACAAGTCCGATGGATGCAGGAATTGTGCAGGTGATATGAAAGAAGGGCTCCCATGTTAACATGTAACTTAATCTCTTAACATGTTTTTGATTGAAATAGCTTTTGCTTTCGGTACATGTGACCACATAATGCTGCACATTCAAAAAATGACTTTTTCGCAGTTCTTTATAATCCATAAAATGTTTAGAGAATCTGCTGTGCATAATAATTTGGAACAGTGCATTTTGAGTTTTTTTTATTTGTGAAAAAAATATTATTCTCAAGGGGAGGTTTTCTCAGTTAAATTTGATTTATACTGTAATAGTTCATGACTTGAAAATTATACTGACCATTATTTGCATTGACCATTTAATAACATTTGAGAAAATATCACTTGCATAATAATTTGTAACATCTGTGGATTCCCCAAATATATCTTCTGTAAATAAATTTTTTTCATGTACATACTTAATATGCATTAATATGGACAGTGGAGACTATATACAGTCTTTCTCGATTGCAAGCTCACCATTACCATGCCAAGAAGCATCATACCAGGGTATCTTTGCTTATCAAGCTGAATTATCTATCAAATATTTAATAATATTAATTTTCTATTACCAACCCATAAATATTTATGTCCACTGTATTTCTGTACTGATTTTTTTTATGTTATCCGTATAAGAATTAAAATAATCTGTGTGGGAAAAATTTATCATTTAGCCAACTGTCTAGTCATACATCAGTCTTTCGAGCCTTTTCTTGACATAAAAGTTAAAATAAAACTGAACAATTCTGCTTTTTTTATACTTCCTCAATATTCGCATCCTGTTTGTGAGTCAGATCTACATGCTAGTTCTGCATGAGGCAGTCCCTGTGAGCTGGTTATCAAAGATATATGTAATATGTTGCTTATGTCTTGTTGAAGCAGAAAAGAAAAAAGAGATTGCATTCAGCTAAAATAAGCTGGCAGATTTTAGTTGAATTATATTTTGATAAAAATGTCGACTGATCATGTCTAAATAATTGGAAGCTTGCAGCAGGTTCGTCTGCTGCAGACGATGTGTTTTTCCGTTTCACTTCTCGGTTGTAACTCAGCCTTTTGTTGACTGATTTAGCGGCCAGCTCAGGAAGTGAACCTCCCCACTTGCTGTTGCTCATCAGTGATAAAGATTACTCTCTTTTTTTTTTCGGTTTCAAGACTCCCACTCCTCACTCATCACCCAGCTGTGAGTGTGCATGACAAATATAAAAGTCCAACATTTACCAGAGCTTGCTATTCAACAAGATAAACTCTCCCCAAAGAAATGAGTCAAGGCTGTACTGCAGGTTTAAGAGAGATGAAACTAAAGGACACTTATTCTGTTTAGTGTCAATTTTAAGTATTTTTAAAAAAGAAACCTATTTTGCTTTCTATGTTTGATTACGTGGGAAACAAATCCTTAAACTGTATCAACCATCCAGATCATTAAGGTCTTCTGGTTCAAGTCTTACATCCAAACAGAAACTAAACATTAAGAGGCAGCACTTAGTTTTTTTCTCCACTAATTAATTAATTTCAATCTGGTTTGTAATTTGTCATTACTTCAATTCATTCCTGCCTATCTCCAATTTACTTAAGAGTTTTATTTTTTGGGCTGTGGGTGGAAATCCGAGTGACCCACAGTGAACTCATGCATGGACTGGGAGAACATGCAAACTTCATGGAGAAAGACCCCAGACTGGAATTCAAACCCTTCTTGCTCCAAGGTGACAGTTGGAAACTAAAGTGCAATCCCACTAGAACTTGTGGGGCTTAGAGAGCACAGCCACCTATAAACAGCTGGAATTAGCAAATAACATAAAACCCCTCTTAAAAACACTTATAACGGTTTAAACGATTTTAGTAGTTTAAACACAAAGTGTACCTTTTTTGCATGAATGAACAGTGTAATTTGATTACTATCACAAAATCTAATAGTTTTTCTAATTTTCATTCCTGTGCTGTTGCGCAAATACCACGCAGTTCATGTTTTTATATTTATGCTTTTATTTTGAAGGCGTTTTATGCAGTTTCCTCTTTTTTCTTTACGTTCTTTACGATCTGCGTAATGGCGGGGAAGCGATCACTGAAGATGTGAGGAATGTTAATAATCGTGTGACTTGAATGTGTTGATGTTAATTATCACTTCTGACGGTACTGTTTGGCTGCCAGTGTGTGTTCTTAGTCTTTAAAATGTCTCTTTGTTGTTAGTATGGGCGTGATTTAGCATTAAAGCTAATTTAGCCATTAGCATTTAGCCGTTTGCTTTGAGCCGTTAACCTTGAGCCGTTAACCTAGAGCCGTCAGCCTTGAGCAGTTAGCCAGACATTGTTCAAGTTAAAATAGCATTTATGACAAAGGGGATTTATCCTGAGGAATAGGTTTCTTTACTCACGTGTTTATTTTCTGTATTTAAGAGCTGCTTTTTTATTTCTGTATTTTCAGAAACTGCTTTATTCTGTAACAGAATGCATCGCTATGTTTGTAGGTTTCTGATTTACAAATGGGCTTAAAGCGGTAGACACAGGGTGTTAACCGCCACACTGCCACTGATTCTGGAGCCTCCACGTCAAACTATTATTTGCTATTTGTTTTGTGTCCCTAATTGTTTGATGAGATTCCAAAATGTATTATACAATGTTCCATGTACATATTTGAAGCAGAACATTTGACTACAGTTGCTCTTTCTTGCTCTTTCGGGTGGATTGTTTAAATCCTTTCACTAAAAGCAGGGACAAATCGTTACTAGATGTAAGTTTGATGTAAAATAATCATTAAGGGAATGTTGTTGTTCACACGAACTTGTTCAGAATTATTTGGCACTGGTGTGTTAGGGTGTAATGGCCAACATCACTATGGGTTTGACTTTACACTTTCCTTATATTTATGCTTTTATGTTAGTTGTTAGTTTAATAATACAATATGCATGAAGCAAAATAAGTCTCAGAGGTTTACATTCTGGTTAAATTTATGTTAGCTAATGCTCTTTTGTTGTTTATTTATAGATGTCCAGCAACTTCCTGGACTCCTCAAATAGCTGCTAGCAGAGGTAAAATGATACTGACAAACTGTTATTCAAATAGAATTACGACTGCATAGTAAGAATTTTCTAAATAATTAAGCCATTTCAAGTCAAATAACTATTTTTAGAAAATTATTTAATTAAAAGTATAAAGTAGGGCTGTAACCATTCCTCAACTGATTGGAGTTA